TACTGGGCCCGCTCGAGCAAATCGATGATCAACGGGAGGGCCTTTACCTTACCTTTTATAGAGAGGAAAACTAAGGCCCCAGGAGACAGGACATTTGTCTAAGGTATCTTAGTAAGGTGAAGGCAAACAAGAGCCTAGAATGATGAAGGAGCACTGTACCAGGAAGTCAGAGCTTAGCTCTGTTGCTGGCACCTTGAAGACCACCCAGGTTCTTGCTGGTTTATTTCTGTATGAGGGGAGGAAAATAGGAGCGTCTACCTACTTATCAAATTTTCAGTAGGTCTGGACCTGAAGTATGCATATTGCATTGCTGTAAATGGCAGGTCTGTTTTGTTTAGTCCTGCTTAATGAAAGATTGAATTTGAATATTTAAATTGGGGTGTGCCATATCCAATTGCCCACCTGTCTCACTATTTTCAAATCTTCGTTGCAACCATCCCACTGACAGAATGTTAGCAACCCCAAGAACCTCCTCTGCACAGAAATGAACCCCGCTGATCCCACCCCTATTTCTAAGAATGAACCATTGTCTGCATCACCACAACCTGTCCCCCGTGTCAGGGGAGAAGATACAAAAAGCTAAATTCTCTGGCTGGAAAGATAGTACAGCTTGCTTTTTCAGTTCTCTTCTGAAAAGGAGACAGCAGAGGGAGGGCACTCGCCTTGCATGTGGGTTGACTTGGGTTCTATCCCCAGTGTCCCATAAAGTCCCCAGAGCACCACCAGGGTGATTCCTGAGTGTTGAGCCAGAAAGAGTAACCCCTGAGCATTTCCAGGTGTGGCTCCAAAAAATGAAGCTGAATTCCCCACAAATATTCACTTTTCTTAGAACATAGGAGCCCTCTCTGTAGGTCCCTATGTTCCGTGGAGTTCACCAGGGAATCCCGCAGGCCAGGGCCATCAGATATATGTGGGAGCATCAGCTCTCCCTCAGACCCCATGAGAAAGTCTCTGAGTGTGTGTGTCTGAAAGTGAATTTAAATGTCAATTGAAGGGGCTTACTTTAGGCTTTGGAGAGTTCTGGAAGTTAGAACTTCCTCCTTGTTATCAGAGCTAGAGACTAGTGACCAGATAAATTTTTATTGCTGTGGTAGTGATGGTAAGGAAGATAATGGTGCTGGTGACTAGCTACTATTTCTTCAGTGTCCTCATGTAATAAGCCCTGGCTATAAAATTAAGGCATTACTTCCTTGAGATCTCTTGGCACCCTCTGAAGTGAGTAGAATTGCCCTTTTTGGCTGATGAAGAAAAGAGAAACCTACAAAGTCACACACCATAAAACTGAAAACTATAAATCTATAAAACTAAACAACTATAAAAATTGAAAACTTGGGAGGGGGGCAGGGTTGGGCCACAGAAGTAGGTGCTTAGGGCTTATTCCTGACTCTGTGCTCATGGATCACTTCTTTTGAGGCCCAGGGGATTTTATGAATCGAACCCAGATCGCCATGTCCAAAGCAAGCATCCTACCTACTGTACTAACTCTGCAGTCCTAAAAACCATTTTTTTTATTAGACAAGAATGGTCAAAGGGCCAAGGATGCGGGGTGGCTCTGTGAATGCTTTGCATATGTAAGGCCCTGGGTTCAATCCCTGGCACCAAAAACAAATGAAGTCAAATGCTGGATATTTAATATGATTGCACCAAATCGGAAGATAGAGCTGGATAAAACAGTCTGAACTTGAAGTCCATGTGTTTTTCCTATTACCCTTGCTGCCCCCCCCCCCCGGGCATACCAGCAGTATTGGGGCTCCTTCCTGTGATGTAGGGTGGTCTCGGGAACTGAACACATGGTCTTATGCATGTAAGCAGGTGTATTATCATGGAACCACATCCCTAGGCCCTGCTTTTTACCTCCCCCAGAAAATTTGGTTTTCTGTCTACATCAATGTTCCCAAGTGAACAAAACCTCTCTCCCCTTCCACTCTGCAGAGCACTGGAAAGATCGAGGTGCGTCATTGTAACCTAGATTACAATGTTTGCTGAAAGAAGGTAGCTTTCCAGCAGGGTTCTGAGTGAGTTCTCTTCCGAAAAGGAGACAGCAGAGGACAGGAAGATAGTATAGCAGGTAGGGCATTTGCCTTGCACACTGCTAACCTGGGTTTGATCTACAGTTCCCCACATGGTTCCCCAAACCTGCCAGAAGTCGTTCTTAAACTCAGAAGCAGGAGTAAGCCCAGAGCACCATGTGTGTGGCAAGCTGGAAAAAAAGAAGGAAGGAAGGAAGGAAGGAAGGAAGGAAGGATGAAATGGAAAGGGAGGGAGATGGGAGGGAGGGAGGAGGGAGAGAAGAAGGAAAAAAACAAAAAGAAAAAAGAGAAAGAAAGGAGAAAGAGAGAAAAAGAAAGAAAGAAAGAAAGAAAGAAAGAAAGAAAGAAAGAAAGAAAGAAAGAGAGAGACAGCAGATCAAATAAGCTTGGGAATTTCATGTGTACATGTCACTATCACTATTGCTATCACCCCATTGTTCATCGATTTGCTTGAGTGGGCGCCAGTAACGTCTTCATTCATCCCTGCCACGTGCTAGTATAGCCCTCTGGCATATTGGGGGCTCTTTCAGGGTCAGGGGAATGAGAACCTAATCATTGTTACTGTTTTTGGCATATCGAGTATGCCACGTATAGCTTGCTGTGCGGGCAGGATACTCTCGGTACCTTGCCGGGCTCTCTGAGAGGGATGGAGGCTTTTTGGGCAGCCTCTAGTCACCTTTACAGGTGTTCCCAGTCAGGCATATATATGGGCAAGATACTCTTGGTAACCTGTCAGTTCTCTGAGAGCGAGAACTAGACAATAAGAGGTCACACAGTCACAAATGCGGCCACGTGCTTCTGGGAACTTGGATTTATAGTCTCTGGATCTTGCCCATTGATGGAGTTACACGGTATTTGGTGGGTATAACTGTCTAGCTACTGGAAGATGGGGGATGTGGGTGGAGAGGCCCAGTCCCGATCTGAGCAGGCTTGGAGATCTCAGCCCTGGGGCCCACACACCTGGGTTCCTCTGCCAATTTCTTCATGTGTGAGGCTCATCCTAGCGTATGGAGAGTGGTCTCAGCATGGCTGTGGCTGGGTCCTGGAGGTCTTCAGCTGCCGGGGCTCTGCTCAGGGCAGAGAGGGAAACTCAACCATAATTATGATGATGATTATAAACATTAAAAAAACTCTCCTATTTTGTTACTTTATGTTCCCCAACAATTCCTCTTTTGCAAACCACAGCACCCAGAAGGAGAGAGAGAACAAAAGGGAGTGCCCTGCCACAGAGGCAGGGTGGGATGGGGGGATGGAGGGTGGGAGGGATACTGGGATTTGTGGTGGTGGAGAATGGGCACTAGTGGAGGGATGGGTACTCGATCATTGTATAACTGAAACCCAAGCACAAAAATTTGTAAGTCTACAACTGTACCTCATGGTATTTCACTAATGAAAATTTTTAAAAAATAGGGAAAAAATTACCCTTTCAAAACAGTAAAAAAAAAAAATCTCTCAAACCAGAGATTATATTCAAAAGGGAAAAAATTAAAATTCCTTTAAGATCTTTTTTCAGGCATTTCTGCAGGCAAATAGTTGGTGTTTATGGATAAAATAGTCTTTAGTGAGAATGTGTGTTCATTATACTGTTTGGTCCTGGTAACTTCACGGAGGAGATGATTCCTTTCCCCATTTAACAGACAAGAAGAGCAAGAGGCTGATGGTGTGGTTGTTAAAGACAGGCTCTCCAGAGGAGATGGTCTAGGTTTAAATCTTGACTTTATCAGCTGAAGCAAGTTGCTTACATTCTTTGTGCCTTGCTTTTCATATTTTGAAATGGTGATAATAACAGCTTTGTCCTCAAAGGGAGATTGCGGTAATTAAACAAGATAGTCTCTGTAAAGTGATTAAAACAATGTTGGCACATGGTAAACACTTGATAAACACAGGCTATCATTATAGCTCAGGGAGGCCAGAATGATTGTACAGTGCAGGGTGCTTGCCTTGTATGTGGCCAACCTGGATTTGATCTCCGGCACCTCGTATAGTCCCCCTGAGCCCTGGCAGGAGTAAGCACTGAGCACTGGGTACTGCTGGGTGTGCCACTGCTCCAACTAAAAAAACACAAAACTCAGTGATACTAAATAGCATAGTTGGAAAATATCACAGTTCTAACTGACCCCAACCTTATCTACTTTCCAAGATCAGGTCGCTCACCTCTTTGCAAATTTGGAATTAAGACAAAGAATTCAAACTTTCCCTTTTTACCGGGCTCTCCCTAATAGGAGGTAAATCTCATGCACCCACCTAGCAGCCCCTGTGTAGAACCTGAATTTGGGGGAAAGTAGAATGGCCTGCTAGCTGCCTCTAAGCAGGAAGCAAAAAGAGAGAACAGTTTTCTGCAAAAATAATTTATCTTTTGCCAACAATCTCTGAACCTGCTCCTGCCCCCTCTTTTCTGGGTTCCCTGGATCAGTCACTGGCTTCTGTAGCCTTGTTTTCTCTTGCGCATGACCAGAGTGTGAGCCAGGCCCTCCATGGAGCCTTGTAAATGTCCCGATCATAACAATGATGGTGATATTTACTGAGCACTCACTAAGGGCCAGGCCTTGCCTTCCAGCTTAACCTGCTCTAATTCATCTAATCCTTACCTCAGCCTTCCAGGAAATTTATGCACTGTCCCCACTAATTCAAATGAGAAGCCGGCTCAGAGAGAATAATAACTTGTTTTTTTTTTCTTTTTGGGTCACATCTGGCAATGCTCAGGGGCTACTCCTGGCTCCGCACTCAGGAATTACTCCTGGCAATGCTTGGGGAACCATATGGGATGCTGGGGATCAAAACCAGGTTGGCCATATGCAAGCCCTACCCTCTGTTCTATGGCTCTGGCCCCCGCTCCAAGAGGGCAGTTACTTGACCCACCATCCTTCAGTGACCTTTTAAGTTCAACCACCATTCTGGAACACTCAGTTGTGCACACCCTTTCACCTGGTTTCCTCACTTCCTCCCTCCTGGAATTTCCTTTCTGAGCAGCTCTCCAGGATGTTGCAGTTATGGCAGCCCTAGGCTTGGGCTTCCTTACCTCCTCTTTGCGGAGACACGGCTGGAGCAGCGTGGCCTTCAACCTCTTTATGCTGGCCCTCGGGGTGCAGTGGGCAGTCTTGCTGGATGGCTTCCTGAACCAGTCATCACTTGGGAAGGTCATCATCACACTGTCCAGGTAACAGGATGACTATTGGTTCATTTGGGGGATCTTTTGGAATGTAAAGCTTGAGAAGACAGGTCCTACTACGCTTGATGTCCCCCTTCTCTTTTGAACTCCAAAGTCACGCAATATTTAGGACATACTTATACTAACAAATACTCATTGCTTACTTCACATTTAAATTTTAGGTAGTTATTTATTGGGTTTGGGGTCCCTCATATTCAAATTTAACTGGGCATTCAATATTTTATCTCTCCACCCCAGGCCCAGATCCACAGCCTCCCTTAAGTCTTATCTTTATTATTAAATAAGATTTTGTTTATTTTTTTGTCTCGGTGCCACACCCAGCAGTGCTCAGGGGTAACTCCTGGCTCTGCACTCAGAAATTACTCCTAGCAGGCTCAGGGGACCATATGGGATAAGACCCAGGTTGGCTGCATACATCTTACCTACTGTACTATCTCTCTGACCACCTTAAAATAATATTTCATAAAGCAATGTAATCAATATTTTTTCAAATAAAATTCTAACATAAATTAGACCAAAAAATTGCTGCTGTCCTCAGATAGGACAGGAAAAAAAAGAAATAAATGAAGAAAAATTTATATATACAGGGGTTAGAAAGATATCACAGTAGGTAGGGTGCTTGCCTTATATACTTGCTTGCTAGCTCAGGACCCAGATTCAATCCTCTGTACCTCATGATCCCATAGCATGGCAGGATTAATGATCCTCCCTCCCCCACACACACACACCCAATTTACTCCTGAGGACCACCGATCTGAAAGGATTAAACTCAATTATGTTTGTGAAGTACCTGTCCAGATAGCCAGATAGGTATCTAACCTGGATGAGACAAAACAAGGAAATAGAGACTCAGAGTATATAAGACTCGGAATAATACGCAGCTAAACAGGGGTGAAAATGCCTTTGGTGTGTGTGTGCGTGCGTGCGTGTGCGCTCGCACACACACATTTATAGTTTTGATATTACAGTTATGATAGAATTATCATTTATGTTTTTATTTTATTTTTGCTTTTTTGGGGGCCACACCTTGCTGTTCTTAGGGCTTACTCCTGGCTCTGATCAGAGATTACTCCTGGAGGGCTCAGGGTACAATATGTGGTGCTAGGGATTGAACCCTGTCAGCAGGGTGCAGGGTAAACACCTTACTCTCTGTACTATTTCTCTGGCCACATTTATGGTTTTAATGTACAAAGCTACAGCAACCCCCTACCCCACCACCAAAGTGCCCAAGCCCCTCCCTCCACTGCTGTCTTTATGTGATTTCTAGTTCACCTCTTCACTGTACCTGAACCCTAGCTTCAGAGTTTCTATTTTTGTTTAATTTTGTTCTGCTTCTTGTGGTGCTGAAGATCAAACCCAGGTCCTCACACATGTGATGCAGCATGTGCTCTACCACAGACCCATCCTGTTTTAACTCACTATCACCCTCCCTTACTCTCCCTTCTCCTCCACATTACCATTGACACAAAATACAGTCTGAAAAAGCTCACCTCCCATCTAAAAAGAAAGCCCTCCACATTGTGTCTTCTAAAAAGTTTAGGAGCTAATCCCCACAGGGATTCGATAACCTTGGTAATCACTTGCAAAGTAACAAAGGGCACTCAGGGGAACTCTGATGAGGTGGCCTGGTCTGACCTTTCTCCTGTCTTGGCGTGAGGTCACAGGAGCCTCAGCCTCCTGTGCCTTAGTCAGCTGTAGGCCTTTCAGGCTGTCCCTCTCCTGACAGCCCGTCAGCAGGACCTGTTAGCCCTGGCTGAACCCAGGAATACAAGAAAAGGCCACAAGCAGCCAAATGAGCTCCCTCGCCCCACCCCTGGCCATTGGGATCCTCCCTGCTATGATCACTTTCTGACAGGCGGCACAGATTTGAACAATGGGTTTTTGTTGGTGGTGGTTGTTTGCTTGTTTGGGGGCCACACCCGCAGTGCTCAGGAGTTACTCCTTGGCTTTGCACTAAGGGTTCACTCCTAGTGGGCATGGGGAACCATATGGGATGCTGGGAATCGAACCTGGGTCAGCTCCGTGCAAGGCAAGAGCCCTACACACTGTCCTATCATTCCAGGCCCCAGATTTGGACAATGTGCTCCTGACCTTTCCTTCCCAGTACAGGCTGGTGAGTGATGCCAGGTCACTCTTGGACAGAGAACTCTCCTTCTCCCTTAGTCTCACCTACACCTGTGTCACCTGACATGCACTGAATTTGTTCTTCCTTGACATGAGGGTCCCTTTGCCATCCTTGTTTTCCTCCTATAAGGGCTTAGTAAATGATTCTTAGAACAAACATGAAAACAAAAGGACACCTAAGATGTGTGCTATTTTTAATACTATATTTTGAAAGGTCCAGGAGCTCTCCTACTTCAGAACCTAGCTTCTTATGGATCACCTTAAATCAACCCTAAAAGGATGTGGTCACAGGATATGAGGGTCATGAAAAATTTAGTAACAGTAAAAGGTTACCAAATCATGATCAAACACCCCATGATCAAATATTAATTCAAAATCAACTGAGTCATGAATCTGAGGTGTTTCTGGCAGTCTACATTTGCATGGCATTTCCAGGGCATGAGTGAAAAAGTCAAAAGTCTATGGATCCCTGCCATAAAAGATATGAGCAATAATCAACCCCCTTACCATGCTTACTGGACTCACTTCACCTTCACAACAGCTCTGCAGGCATTGACTGTTCATACGTACATACATACATACATACACACACATATGTACTTTTTTTTTTTTTTGCTTTTTGGGTCACATCTGGCAATGTTCAAGGCTTACTCCTGGCTCTGCACTCAGGAACTACTCCTGGCGGTGCTAGGAGACCATGTGGGATGCTCGGGATTGAACTCAGTTCGGCTGCATGCAAGGCAAATGCCCTACCTACTATACTATCACTCTGGCCCCTGCCTGTTCCTTTTAAATAAGTAGAGACACAGAATGTCTTTTGTTGCGGTTATTTTTATTTGTTTCATTTTGGAGCCACACCCAGTGGTGCTCAAGGCTTACTCCAGACTCTGTGCTCAGGGATCACTCCTGGCCATGCTCAAGGTACCATAAGTGGTGCCAGGAATCGAATCCAATTTAGCCACAGGCAAGACCTTACCCACTGTACTCTTTCCAGCCCTGAGACATAGAATGTTTTAAGTAATTTGTCCAAGGTCACACAGCTAGGAAGTGCCTGAGTCTGAACCTGAGTCTGCTCTCCTCACCACTGTCTTACGAATCACTACCTCAGTACCCACCACACAAGGTTAATGAGACCCCAGGCCTGAAATCTCACCAATGAAATGCATACCCTTTTTGTTTTGGGGGGCCACAGCTGGCAGTGTTTAAGAGTTACTTCTGCCTCTGTAATCAGAAGTCCATCCTGGCAGTCTTGGGGTGCCATGAGAAATGCCACGGATCACACCTGGTTCAGCTACAAGCAAAGTAAGCACTACCAGCTGTACTATCTCTCTGACCCCCATCATCCCTTTCTTTTCTTTCCTTTCCTTTCCTTCTCTTTTCTTTTCTTTTGGAAATACATTTTCTTGAATCAGAACCTTACCAGTTAGATGAACACATACTCAAAAGACACAGTCCCACTAGCTAAAGTGAAAAGTTGCATAAGCCCATATTCAAAATAATGCCTGGCCCCTGGAAACTTCTCCCCCAGCCCCTGGTCCTCCTCTGAGCTTGACTCTGAAATCCTTGAGCCTTCAGCAAGATGTTGCATTGACCACAAACTCTGAGTGGGCTTCTCTAGACTTCAAGGCACAGGCTTTAAATCCAGGTCATCTGGCTTTGAACCTTATGTTGGTACTTAATTAGCTGTGTGGCCATTGACCAAAAAAAATCACTTTTTTCCTTTTCAATGTCCTCTTCTGTAAAATGAAGGTGCTGAATGGTATTGCGCTTCATTTCAGAAGGTCATTGGGAGGATTAAAATTTTAACGAGATGATGCAGTTGCAACTCAATAACACCATAACATTACCACAGTAACATGATTATTATTATGGTGGTGGTGGTGGTGGTTATAAAACGATTATCGTCATCAACTCCCAGGGAAAGACCAGGTCTCCGAGCAAGGAGTGCAGAGGAGGATGGAGGGGTTTAATCACCGTGGATTGTCCTGCTTCTTGCTATCTCCCCAAAGAAAGTTTCCTTGGGACCAGAGAGATAGTAGAGTAGGGTGGGCATTTGCCTTGCACACAAGCATCCCCACTTTGACCCCGGCATCCCTTATGGTCCTTTGAGCCAACCAGGAGTGATCCCTGAGCACAGCTGCTGAGTGTGGCACAAAAAAATAAGAAAAAAAGAAAGAAAGGAAGGAAGATAGGAGGGAGAGAAAGAGGGAGAGAGGGAGGGGAGAAAGGGAGAGAAAGAGAGAGAGGAGAGAGAAATTCTCCTTGGGGTAAGAGTGATAGTATAGCAGGAAGGACACTTGCCTTGCCTGTGGCAAGCCTGGGTTCAATCCCCAGCACCCCCTATGGTCCCCGAGCTCTGCCAGGAGTGAAAACTGAGCAGAGAGCCAGGAATCAGCCCTGAGCACCACCAGCTGTGGTCTTCCCCCAAAGAAAAAGAAAGCTTCCTTAGTGAGTCTGCTTTACTCTCTCCCTCCAGCACACTCCTCTTGCCTCATGATATCACGGACTCATGAATGTCAGCCCCATCGCCCCAGCTGGATCATAAGTGCCTTAAAAACAAAACTTGTTTTCTCCTCCTGAATCCCCTCACTCTGCATTTCATACGTCAGGGCGTCCATAACAGTGCCAATACTGTGTGTTTCTACTTCCAAGTCAGGGTTTTGTGCCAGTCACGGTGCTGAGCACACATGCCCTGCCGGGAGATGGGCTGATGATCACTTTCACTCCCCTCTCCTGATAGAGAACCGGACTCGGTGAGATTAAATAGCTGCCCTCGTGGAGAGGCGAGCGCTGGAAGCCAGGCTAGCCCTGCTTCCAAACCCAGACTCCTGGCAGCGCCCTGAAGAGTGAGAAGGCTAGTGACTGGGCAGGAGTGGGCACTGCAGGAGAAGAGTGCCCTCTATTGAGCAGCTGGGTAATTGGGCTGAAGAGAATGGCTTTAGGCAAGATGCTGCGCTCATATCCCAGAAGGGGGCCTTGAGGGAACAACCAGCGTCCATAACTCACTGGGACGCTCCCATCAGAGCCTCAGCATGTCCTCTGTACAGATGAAGGAGCACAACGCAATCCCTCAGAACACAGACGCCACCTGATGGGGCAAGGAGGTGAAGGAGACAAAGGAGAGGCCAGGCCAACGGTATCCACCTTGAGGGGAGTGGAAATTGTTTTGAGCTCCCACTGGGTCTCCCATTTCTTGAACGATACCAAGCAGAGTATGCCCTCAGCCAGTGTTTGTTGAGTGAATGAAGGAGTCCTTCTCAGCTCTCCCTGACTCTCTCTCTCTCCCCCTTCCCTCAGTATCCAGATGGCCACCATGAGCGCTATGTCCGTGCTAATCTCAGCAGGTGCCGTCCTGGGCAAAGCCAATCTGGTACAGCTAGTACTGATGGTGTTGGTGGAAGTGACAGCCTTCGGCACCATGAGGATGGTCTGCAGGCGGTTCCTCAACGTGAGTCTTGACATTGTGAGGAGGAATTCTGGAGAAGGGGGGAGGGGGTGGAAAGGGAAAGGAGCTGCCTCCATGACGTGAGACCTCTAGCATTTTTAAAAAAATGAAAAAGAGAAGACGACTCTAAAAGGGCTTATAAAAGTTTGGTGTCAAAACACAGCAAACTAATGTCTTTAGTTTCCCAAGCGTGAGAGTGTAGGGTTGCACCCCTCAGAGGATAATGATAGAATGTATCTAAAGAATTCATCCCCAGGTCCCCAACAGCAGCAGCCAAGGAGCCAGCATCTTCTTTCAAGCCAGTCAACGTGTCATTGTACAAGGTCTCATGGGAAAAGTTGTTCAAGGTTAAAAGTGAGGCCAGATGAGCAGATGAAGCCAGTTTGGAAGGCAATCCTACCCCCCTAAGTGGTCCTGAGCCTGACTCACGGTGTGGCCAATCTCTTTGTCCTACAGCAAGAAAGCCAATTTCTTGAAAGGGGAAGTTGTTTTTAAAAATCATACAGCAAGGGGGGTGGCTGAGCCACGTGAGAACCCAAACCCTACTGGGGTTCAGGAGAAAGAATGCTGGACTTGAAATTAAAGACTGGGGTTTGATGCAGCTCTGTCATTAATTTTCTACATAACTCAGAGATAGAATACTTTCTGTTTCTTCACCTATAAGATGAGGATAACTAATGTTCCTTACTACATAGGAGTTGGGGAATAATTAGTCCATTAAATAAGATGGTGTTTTTGTTTAGCAATTATAAAAACTTTTGCCATTTCCCAGAGTTAGACTGAGAATTAAGGTGATCATTGTAGAGTTTTGAGAGAGAGAATGAGAGAGGTAATCAGACTTAATGTTTTTAAAAGCATTTCCCTGACCTTAGGGTTCAAAAAGGACCAAAGGGAGCAAGAGTGGAGTGGGTGGAGACAATGAGGAGACTGTTGTGATACTCCAGGATGAGGTAGGGCGGTAGCCACAAAGGGTGTGGGAAGGCTTAATTCTAGCTGCAGATCTGAGCAAATTTGCTAATAGATTGCACAAGGGATGGGAGAAGGACTAAAAATGGCTGCAAGAGGGCTGTAGAGATGGCACAGAGGGAAGGAAGCTTGTCTTGCACATGATTGACCTGGATCCAATCCCTGGAACCACATATGGTGCCCCAAGCCCTGCCAGGAATGATCCCTGAGCACAGAGCCAGGAGTAAGCCATGATTAACACTTGCTATGGCCCAAAACCAGCGAACCAACCAACCAAATAAAAAAAATGACTCCAAGGACTGGAGAGATAGCATGGGGGTTAAGATATTGGCCTTACACTCAGTTGACCTTGGTTTAATCACCAGCTAGTTCTCCAAGCACCACCAGGAGTGACCCCGCTGGGTGTGACCTAAATAAAAAAATAAATAATACAAAGAGGCACTTTACTTGCTATAGTATCTCTCTGTGCCAGGAATGATCCCTGAGCACAGAGCCAGGAGTAAGCCATGATTAACACTTGCTATGGCCCAAAACCAGCGAACCAACCAACCAAATAAAAAAAATGACTCCAAGGACTGGAGAGATAGCATGGGGGTTAAGATATTGGCCTAACACTCAGTTGACCTTGGTTTAATCACCAGCTAGTTCTCCAAGCACCACCAGGAGTGACCCCGCTGGGTGTGACCTAAATAAAAAAATAAATAATACAAAGAGGCACTTTAACTGCTGTAGTATCTCTCTGGGTCCCGTTTTAAATTCTTTATCAAGGAGTCAAATAAATAGCTCAGTAAGTAGGGCCCTTTTGCCTTGCATACAACCAGCCCAGACTGAATCCCAGACACTACATGTAGTCCCCCAGACTTCACCAGGAGTGATACCGGAATGCAGAGATAGGAGTAGGTTCTGAGATTTCTTTTCAGGTGTGGCAAGAAGAAAAGGAAGGAAGGAAGGAAGGAAGGAAGGAAGGAAGGAAGGAAGGAAGGAAGGAAGGAAGAGATTCTTTATAAGGAATGCATTTCCCTCCCCCATTGCCTGCACCCAGGATAGAAGCCCTGCTCTAGGCAGCAGAAGAGCCAGAGCGAAGAAGGACTGAGAGGGCGTATCAGAACTGGGTGTGAGGGAGAGTAATGAAAGCACATCAGGAATGGTGCAGGAGACAAAGTCAGTCAGGTGGTAAAAGCCCATCCCAGGGGCCCTGTAGGGCCTGACCAGAAAGCTGACTCACACTAACAGAGCCAGGAGTTTGAGAGATTCTCAGGAGACAGTTCACTCTGGCTGCTGCATAGGGATCAGTCAGAAGAAAGGTGGAAACAGGGAGACCGACAGAAGATTATTGCCATCATTTGGGGTAACTGCGATGGTGGTTTAAATCAAGGTGGGTCAGGGAGGTATGATGGCAAAAAACTGGAATATTTTTTGTAACCACAGTTGGCAGAATTGAGAAGTCACTCATTGGTTAATAAAGATGAGCAAATTTGATATCTGTAAGGCAAAGTTAACATCTATCCTGACTTCACTAAAAATTCTAGGGAAATGTTCTAAAAGATCTGGTTGCTGCATGTCACAACGCTTACATCATTTATTACTCCATGCAAAGAGTTGCAATTCTACCCCAAAGTCAGGGACAATGGGGTACAGATCTGTGTGGCTCTTTGCCCCATCTAAGAACATCTTGTCCAAAAACATGCATTTATTTATTTGATCACTTGACTTCCTGTTACTCATCGATTTGCTCGAGCGGGCTCCAGTAATGTCTCCATTCATCCCTGTCGTGTGCTAGTGTAGCCCAGTGGCATCTGTTTGTTCTAGGAACACGAAGAGCCTCAAACCGATGTTTCAGGTTTATTTATTTATTTTTGCTTTTTGGATCACACCCAGCAATATTCAGGGGCAACTCCTGCCTCTGCACTCAGGAATTACTCCTGGCAGTGCTGGGGGACCATATGGGATGCCGGGGATTGAACCCAGGTTGGCTGCATGCAAGGCAGACGCCCTACCCGCTATACTATCACTCCAGCCTCCCCCCCCCCAGCATTTAAAAGCTACTGATAAGACCAAGCAGCAACCTTCCTAGAGTCAGTACGACCCATCGGCTCCCCAAAAGGTGAATACTAGCTCTAGGGGAGCAGCAATGACACCAACCAAACTTCAAATCACCAGTGGGAATAAATTTCCAAACTCTTCCAGGGCGTGGGGTTTGCCTAAGGGCAGCAAGTGCAGACACTCACCTCTCTCACGGGTGTGCTTTACAGATGGACAGCCACGTAAGCATGATGCACATCCACGTGTTTGCAGCCTATTTTGGATTGACTGTGGCCTGGTGCCTCTCAAGGCCTCTGCCTGAGGGAACGGAGGAGAAAAATCACACAGCAACCAGTCCCAGTTTGTTTGCCATGCTGGGTGAGGAGTAAGGGAGGAAGGTGGGGGCGGGGGTGGGAGGGGATTGTTTCAGACCTGGCCTGCAGTGGCTCCAAAGCCCTGCAGGGAAAATCTGCCACCTGTCTCCAGCTGCCTAGGGGTTCTTTTCCGATTGTGTTTGTTGAAGTCAACCAACCTGAGGATAGACTCATTCCCATGACTTGAAATGAACGTGTTCAGTCCTTTTGTCTCAACTTCAAGGAGGGTATTGAACAAGTGAAGAAAGTGAGACCAGGAGGTGAAAGAAGAGTAATTATTCTCTGTTTCGAAAAACTGCAGTGAAAATGCAAATATAGTTGAGACTGCTGGGAGAGGCTTAGAGAAACTCGGGCCACACGCAGGATGCACCGCAGGCAAATGAACACCAGAGCAGGGCCGAAGGGAGGCAGCACATTGAGAGTGTGAAGTAAGCATTCGGCGATCACAAGCTGGGCAGAAGACCTGGAGTTTGGTGATTTTAAACTCTCAGGGACTTACTTTCCTTACCCGTAAAAGTCTGATAGCTGGATCCTGACTGTTTAAGATTTCAGAGAATCATGTAGCTAGACCGGGACTGCCAGCTTTGGGAGATCTCCTGCCTGCAGCCCACAGAGGTTGAGGCGGGATACTGATTCAATGACTCTTTGGCCTCCAGGAACCCTCTTCTTGTGGATGTTCTGGCCGAGTTTCAACTCAGCTCTGCTGGACATTCCCAGTCACAGGAAGAATGCCATCTTCAATACCTACTATGCTCTAGCGGTCAGCGCAGTGACAACCATCTCGATATCAGCCTTGACTCACCCCCAAGGGAAGATCAGCATGGTGAGAAATCAGTACCCTAGCATCACACTGGGACTTCTGGACTGGACATACACATTCATGTCCACAGGCCCCAGCCTGAATCCCACAGGTTGGGCAATCAGAGTCTTGTCTATAGTCTCACGGGACCTGGGAAAGTGTTGGTGTGTCAAACGGGCACTGAAACACAGGAGATGTTCAAAGGCACTCTGGGGAGAGAGTCTTTCTATTCATTTCAATAGAAAGGCTATTCATTTTCCGCTAAGGCTAGCCACCAAAAGCAAGAGTGAGCAGAAAAGAATGAGAATAGAAACGTTATCCTCTCCCCACAACATTTCAGGAATGGAATGATTAGAAGCCAAGCAAAGATACATGTTAGTGGCCAGGGATGTGACTCAATGGTAGAGACTCACTTTGCATGTGTGAGGCCCTGGGTTTGATTCCAGACAACACAAGGTCCCCCTCACTGGAAATGACCTCTAAGCACCAAGTTGGGGAGTTTCTCCTCAGCTCTGCTAGGTGTGCTCAAACACCAAACTGACTAACAATAACAACAACAAAAAGAAGTATGGAATCCTAGTCATTTATCCTTGGAGTGGAGTGTGGCCACAGAGAACAAGTTTAAAAGTACAATGGTAGCACTCCAAAGTAACAGGGAGTTTAGGATCAAAAAATATGGGGATACCCAGGGAGGTGCAAATGAACATCAGGTAAGCTGGAAGCTCGTACCAGAATTCAGAGTTCTACATCCTGGTTAGAGTTGGGTGTAGTGGGAGGCAGTAGCATAAGAACAAGGTAAGATCCAAGTTTAGAGGAATGATGGACATAGAGACATGATCCGGAGTCAAAGCTAGATTATTGGGTCCAGTCATACTGGCTGGCATAGCACAAAGCAGGCATTAATGATAATGAATAAGAGGGGCTGGAGCGAAAGCACAGCGGGTAGGTCATTTGCCTTGCATGTGGCCAACCCGGGTTCAATTCCCAGCATCCCATATGGTCCCTGAGCATCACCAGGAGTCATTCCTGAATGCAGAGCTAGGAGGAACCCCTGAGCATTGCCAGGTGTGATCCAAAAAGCAAAATAATAATGAATAAGAAAGAATAATAATGACTTATACTTGAGAATTTTTTCTGCGCTAGGCAATACATTTAGAGTTTTACCTATAGCAACTTACTCAGTTCTTATAATACTAATAGGTTCAGTCAAAGCCCCATTCTTCCAGAAGGAAAGTTGAGTGCTAAGGATTAAGTGTCCAAGGACACAACTTTAACAAGTGAGAAAGTGGCTAGTAACTGTACCTTTTAGAAGATTCCCTACCTGCCATTAAACCAGCATGACTGCTCTCCAAGTTTGAGAAGTGGGATGAGAGAAGGTCACTGGTAAAGACAGATGGTATAGGAGAGATATTAGAATATTGCCATGTTATCAGCATAAGTAACTTTGAGAAAAATGCTCTCCTCTCCATGTCTTCACTTCATTCACTCCCAGAGTATTTCTTTGCAGACGCATATCCACAATGCAGTGCTGGCAGGAGGTGTGGCTGTGGGCACCGCATGTCATCTGATCACATCTCCTTGGCTGGCCATGGTGCTGGGCCTTGCAGCTGGACTTATCTCCATTGGGGGAGCCAAGTGCTTGCCGGTAAGGAGCTGGGCAACTAACAGTGTTTGTGTTGGTTTAGACCAGCAGAATCCAAGGACCATGGCATATTGGCAGGAATCTCCTGGGAGCTGGGGATTACCTGGCCCACTCTGGCAGTGTTCAGGGACCTCTAGGACCACATCTAGCAGTGCTGCAAGGTTGCACCTGGGAATGTTCAGAGGACCATCTGGTGCTGGGGATCAAAATGGGGTCAGCCCCATGCAAGAAATGAACCTTAACCTCTGTACTCTCTCTCTGGTCCCTCCTCATGCCCCCCCGCCCCGCCTTTTCTTCCCCCCGCTGAACATCTGCTTTATTTCTGCTTGGTAGATTTTCTACTCCTATTCAATTTCCAAATAGTTTTTCCAAGAAGCTAGGGGGCCAGAGAGATAATACCTGCACTCAGCCAACCCAGGTTCGATCCCCAGCATCCCATGTGGTCCCCTGGCCCGTACCGGGAGTTATTCATCCCTGTGCATACAGCCATGAGCACAGACCTTTGAGCAAAACCAAAAAGAAAAAAAGCAGAAATCCAGGTAGAATCCCTTGGTTCCAACTCCAATTTGTTGGGCAGTGAGGGGATGAGAGGTGTCACAGCTTATCGACTTAGTTTGGATAATATTCTTATTTAGGTTTGTTTGTTGGTCAAACCTGGAGAAGCTCAGGGGTTATTCCTGGCTTTACACTCCTGCGATGCTCCAGGAGGACCATATGGGATGCTGAAGATTGAACCCGTGTCAACTGCATGCAGGGAAAGCTCTCTATTTGCTTTACTATCTCTCCATCCCCAGTGTACCTGTTTAGGGCTGCAGGGCATGTCATGCCCATTTCTGTTCCCCATGAGCCAAGTGAATGGTGGTGTGAAGAGCAACACTCAGACAAGGGGTGAGCTGGTAATGCAAGTCATGTCCACCTCTGATTAGTTTTTCTGTACGTGGATGGAGTTTAATCTTCTAGGTTTTGAAGTCTTGATGAAGAACAAAGGAGTATACTAGAAGTGCTCAAAAATTGGAGTGCATTTGGATGACAACTGGATACTCACGGAGGCGCTTTCAACCTACAAGACAAAAAGAACTTACCAAGTTTGATTTAACCAAAGACAGGGAAATCTATTTTTCATCTTGGGAATAATAACAAATTTCTTTTATCTCCTCTGACTTTAATGCTCTATGGAAAAAAGGAGAAAATGTACCACAGGGGGCGTGGATGGGTGGGTGGGAGAGTCTTGTTAAATTAGCACAGGCCAATCCACCACCACTTTCTCTGTGTTTTACTTTCTTTAACTTATCACAGGGAAAACAATTCAAGATGACTCGCTCATTCACTCAGCACATGTTTTAACACTTTATCCTGCTTTCTAAACAATAGGGTAGGGAGGGAAATGGATAAATAAACACAACACAGTGTGATACCCGCAGGCCTTGTGGTGGGTGAGGAAATACTTCCTAGACCAGAGGATGTTTTTCAAAGTCAGCATTAACAAATACCTGACATTAACCAGGCAAAAAAGTGGGCAATGCATTCCAGCAGTAGGAACAGGATGTATTCTAAAGTTCATTGCTGAGAAGAGCATGTGGGCCAACCAGAAACAGGAAGATGCTCTTTTACCTGGAGCATTGAGTTCAGTGAGAGAGAAGGGGGTTCAGGCTTTAGCAGATGGGGATGCTCATGTGTGCTTCCAGGGTTAGTGGAGGAGTTTAGGATTTTCATCTGAAAACAATTGGAATTCTAGGGAGAGAAATGGTTCGATCTCTTTTATATTATTTCTACACCTATTGGCTCATGGCACACTGGGAGGCCAAGGAGTGAAGAAGGAGAAACTCTGAATGGCTGTCTGGATGAGTCACCTGATTATTTTCTTCTAATTGGTCATGTTGTCTTTGGGATGATAGTCTAGTTTGGGAGGGCCGGTCTTGTGGGTCTAATCATTCTTGGGATGTTTGACAATATGTGAAAATGTTTTTGGTTGACACAACTGTGTGGGAATGTTACTGGCAAGCAAAGCAATGTTTCCCCAAATGAGCACCATAGCCCTTGGAATGATGTGTGGGGGGTAGTAGCCTTGAGTACAGTTTTGGAAGGGTACTTCTTATTCACTTAAAGAAGACCAATTTCCCATTGGTGGAGGAAAATGCGTACTGGTAGAGGGATGGGTGTTTGATCATTATCTGACTGAAACTCAATCATGAAAGCTTTGTAAGTGTAACTCATGGTGATTCAGTTAAAAAATAAAAAATAAAAATAAATAAAAGGAAGATCAATTTCCAGATAGAGGGAGCTCTAAGTGACTCCTTTTCTGAGAAGAAGAAGGTGGGAGGCCAAATATATTTGGGAGCCTCTGATCTGGAGTGGTTTTTCTCAGATGGGGGCCATATAGTCCCCCAGGATATTCCCTGAGGGCCACAACTGAAAATTGCATGAATGGAGGGTCACAGCATGAGACTAGGGGGAATCACAGGAAGGAAATGAGGCTGGAAGTTTGAGAAACCCTCATCTAGGGGGCACAAGACAGAGCTGCTGCTAAGTATCCTGTAGGAAGAGCACCCGCTTTCCAACACAGAATTGTCTGTTTATAACCAGAGTAGAGTCTGGGCTAGACCTTCCTGTTTCATGTGTGGTCCATGCAAAGGAAGCATTTGGGACTGTGTTAGAAATGCAGACTTAGAACAGGGCTGTAGGGTGGGTGGTACAGTGGGTAAGGTGCTTGCCTAGCATGCATACGACTGAGGTTCTATCCCTGACACCACATAGTGGGCCTTGATCCCCTCCAGGAGTGACCCCTGAGTGCAAAACCAGGAGAAAGACTTAAGCACTGCCCAAAATACAAAAAAAAAAAAAATAGAGACAAAACAGAAATGCAGACTCATAGTCCCTCTGCCCACTAAACCTGACCTTACTTTTTATTTTATTTTAAAAATTATTATAGTTGTTCACAATATTTGATTACATTTAATATTCAAACATCAATCTCATCATCACCATTACACCTTACCACCACATTTATATCCCAAACCCCCAAACCCTGCCCCCAAAGCAGAATGGAAATAATTTATTTTGTATTGCTTGTTATAAATAATCCACTAAAAATAAGGCCAAAAAAGATCTCTTGGAGGAAAGTGTGTGAAGATTGTTGTATTTCACCCAGGAGCCATTAAAACCCTTCTATAAGAGATTAGTAACATGGTATTAAAGGTTGAAGCTTGTGTGCTTATATATACATATATATATGTATGTACGTATGAATGTATGTGTGTATGTGCAAATATATTTCCCCCTAAGATTAGTTACTTTCTACTTTAAACCCAATCAAATGTGGTATGCTACTCTTGATATTATTATCTCATTCCTACTTTGGACAACCTGGCAGGCTACCGAATGTAACCTGCCTACACAGCAGAGTCTGGCAAACTCCCCGTGGCGTACCCAATATGCCAAATACCAGTAACAATATTGGGTCTCATTCTCCCAACCCTGAAAGAGCCTTGAATATGGCACTTTTTAAAAAATCTCAGTGCTAGGACGAAGGAGACGTTACTGGGGCCTGCTCGAGGCAATCGACAAACAACAGGATGGTCATGATCTTGATCATGACTCTTGATATATTGATCTCACCTTACTTTTAAACATTTATTTAACCCTTTCATGGCCAGAGTGATGATGGTACAGAGGGTAGGGGAGGTGTTTGCTTTGCATGCAGCTAACCAGGGTTTTATGCTTGGCACCACATATGGTCTCTCGAGTCATATGTGGCCCCAAACAAAGAACAAAATAAAATTAAGCCTTTTTAAAAAATGTACTAACCTAGAGGGAGGTTGGGGCCCACACCCAGCAGTGCTCAGGGCTTACTCTTGGATCTGTGCTCAGGAATCACTCCTGGTGGGACTCGGGAGACCCTATGTAGTACTGGCACTTGATTCTGGATTGTCCACGTGCAAGGAGAGCATCTTAACCCCTGTGTTATCCTTCTGGATTCTGATGCTGCATTTTAACAGGCACCCCAGGTGACTAAGGGCACATTCAAGTCAAAGAAGCACTTCCTTGGGGGAGTCCTAGTGTCAATCCCTATGGGTAGCCTGAGTGCCAAGGGTCAGTGAAAAGGTGGGCAGGGCATATCAGTTTCACTGCAATCTGCTTACACCTATGCTTGTCCCCAGGTTTGCTGTAACCGTGTGTTTGGGATCCATGACACTGGAGGCGTGCACTACACCTTCGGCCTGCCTGGGCTGCTCGGAGGGGTCACCTATATTGTGCTGATCATTCTTCAAACCAACTGGACCAAGACATCCATGTAGGTCACATGACTTGCCCCCTTAACAGTCCTCTCCAAACCAAAAAGATGTGGACCAGAGGTCCTCACTGGGATATAGTCATTCAGCACCAGCTACTATCAGGATGAAGATTTATTGATCAATTTATTCAGAAATTCTGGCCAGGGATTAGAGGGGTAATACAGTGGGTAAGGCATTTGCCTTACATGCAGCTGACTAGGTTTGATCCCCAGCATCCCATATGGTCCCTCAAGTACTGTCAAGAGTAATTCCAGAGGGTTGGAGCGAGAGCTCAGCAGGTAGGGCATTTGCCTTGCACGTGAATGACCCGGATTCAATTCCCAGCATCCCATATGGTCCCCAGAGCACTGCCAGGAGTAATTCCTGAGTGCAGAGCCAGGAATAACCCCTGTGCACCACCGGGTGTGACCCAAAAAGCCAAAAAAAAAAAAGAGTAATTCCAGAATGCAGAACCAGGAGTAACCCCTGAGCATTGCTGAGTGTGGCCCCAAAGAAATAAAACAAAATTCTGCCCAGTCCCTATTTTGTAATGACCTCTCAAGGTCATTTTTCCCAAAGAGAGTAGCTTAGATTCAAGGCAAAGACAGATAGTCCTGACACCCAATCCTTCAACCACTCAAATGTAGAGCCCCTGAATCAGGCCTGAGGCAGTTGTGTCCATTTTTCAATTTCTGGTGGTTGAGAGCATGCTGAGGAGTTAGACTGGTCTTGACCTCTGCCTAGTAGTGGGTATATGATCTAACCTTAGCAAAACCACTCCCAACAAAGTAAGATGTTGGAGAACCTGATACCAAGAATTAGGGAAGGGAATAGTAGATAGCGGTGACCCTTCTGGGGAAAACCTTCGACCTGGCAGAGGATAAGGAAACAGGTTTCAGGGACAGACAAAACAGTCACATTGGCCAATCATGTGTCCTTCAGCATGGCATGCACGCTCTCATTTCAGTTTTCTACCTGCAAAATGGGATAAGATTCAGCTATGCATCGTAATTAAAAGGCTCAGAATGGTGCTTGGCATGGGATGAAAAACCAATACAAGGCCCCTTTCTTTGATGTAGCTTTTTCTTTATAAGGGGATTCTATATGTGGTAAATGAGCTGGCAATGAGACATGCCCTGTGACACTGGATTGCCCGCTTGATATCACTGGGCCAGTCAGTGGGCTCTTCATTCATTCCACAAGAAATATCTGCTAATTGGGCTGGAAATAACTCAAGAGGTAGAGAACATGCCTCGCATGTACAAACCCCCAGTGCAGTCACGGGGATTGCATGGCTCTCCAAGCATCACTGGGCTGACCCTAGTGGCCCCAGCGTGGCTGGACCTGAGCACCAAACAGGCCCATACCACAGGGCGTGCATGGCATTCCTGGTAAGGGCCCTCAGCACCAGTGGTGTGGTTCCTATTAAAAAAAAGAAGAAGAAGAAGAAGAATGGGGCCAGAACAATAGTATAGCGGGTAGAACATTTGCCTTGCAGGTGGTCAACCCGGGTTAGATCCCCAGCACCTGAGGATATGGTCCCCTGAGCCTGCCATGAGTGATTCCCTGAGCACAGAGTCAAGAGTAAGTCCTGAACACAGCCTCATGTACCAACTCCTCCCCTTTCCGGCACTCCCCCCCCCCCAAAAAAGCCATCAATTTCTTATTTAAGTGAGTAAATGTGAATGGAGCTGATATCAAATATCCCCCACATTTCCCCTCCCACCACACACACACACACACACACATTGTGTGAATACATTTAAATAACACAAAACCACACTGCAGACTTTCTCAATTCCCGTTCTGATTGCATCTGGAAGAAAGTCTCCTCTTGAGAGTCTCTGCAGCATTAAGACTGTTGACCTGTAAATCACAGCAGAGAAGCCTCAGGCTGAGAGTTCCATGGGCTGGCACGTATGGGAGAGATTTCAGAGCAGCATTTTATTTTTATTGTAACTCTTTTTATAGTTACCTCCCATTTCTCTTCCATATCCACTTGTGCTACAATTTCCTTTTAAATGAAATTGTTTAAAAAAAAAAACAAAATTGTGCCATACCCAGTGGTATTTAGGACTGACTCCTGGTTCTGTGCTCAAGGATCACTCCTGGTGGGGACTGGGGGGCCATATCCAATCGAAACACATTTAGTCAAGTGCAAGGTAAATGCCGTCTCTGGTTCAATTTAAATGTTTAAAAATTTCCATTTAAAGTGTTTTTTTTTTTAACTATCCTAGAGAGCTTAGATAGAAATATCAAAGGGCTGGTGCACATATTTTGCATGCAAAAGCCTTGGGTTCCATTTCCAGTAACTCATGGGCTCCTTCAGACACCATGGGGAGTTGTCCCCAGAATGGAGCTGGCAGTAGGACCCAGCACTGCAAGAGTATGGCCCCCAAACAAAACAATTTGTAACCTGAAATTGCTGATATGACCAACTTTGTGAAGATACCCCTCAACTGATAAATTGCTAAAACTGTCAGTAGACTGATCTGACTAGTTTGACCCCAAGAACCTCCCCGCATCCAATCTGGGTGATATTGGAGCCCTGGATTCACTCTTAAGCTGGACATCCCTGCTTGTGGTAGAGGATCAATGATAACTTTCTTGGAGACATCCTGAGTTCCAAATGACTCAGACAGCACCATGCGGAGCCAAGAACCTAACACAAGGGAAACTACCAGCAGTGTGGGGACAGTTATGATCATCTGAGGTTCATCCATTTCTGTTTTCAGAGAGTATCAGGATCGAGTGAATTGTGGGTTGGCAATAAGCAGAGTTGGGCTTAGCTCCTATACTTCTGATTATTATTAACAAACAAAACCTTAGTGTAATATTAACCTATATCCAGAAAAAAAAACCGCAAAGATCACAAGGCTACCACTTGATTTTGTTATTGTTGTTGTTGTTGTTTAGGGGGTGGGGGCACACCCAGTGGTACTTAGGGCTTCTCCTGGTTCTGTGCTCAGGGAACCATATGGAATGCCAAGATCTAACCAGCTCAGCTGTGTGCAAAGCAAGTGTCCTGCCTGCTGCACTCTCTCTACAACCCACCTTATTTTCCCTCTATTCTTTCCCCATCCCTCTATGGAGGGGAACATTCAGGCTCACAGGATCAAACCAGGGGCTCCCACATGCAAAGTGTGTGCTCCAGCCCCTTAAGCCATCTCCCCACTTCCTTGATGAATTCTCTTATGTGCCCTGTGAGCAGCATTCAGAGCTCCTTATTGTTTTGTCCCATTAACCTGTCTTCTGAGACCAACAATCCCCGTCGTGCCTGAATTTGTCCTTTAAATACATGGAATCACACAGAAAGTTTATACTTGGATAACCTGCCTTCTTTTACTGAACACTGTATTTGAGAGATTCATCCATGTAGATTTGCATCACTGTAGAGCATTCATGTTCATTAGGGCATAGTGTGTTGTAATTGGGTTCTAATATATAAAGGATCCAACTAGATCCTAATGTATAAATTGAAGCTAGGGAGAGATCAATGTCATTAAAGGCTAAGTATAATGTTCTTTAAAGTTTCCCTGGAAATGGAAATGAGAGGCACAGCACTCTATGTGGAGCTGTGTGAATTCTTAGCATGCAGGACCAGGCAGCAATGAGAGAGGAACTGAGACTAGGAAGAAGGGAACAGAGTAATGAGGTAGGGACTTCTCCTGTAGGACAGGAAATGAAAACACAGTTGTTAGTTTGTAGTTGGGAGGTTGGATTATTAGTTTCTCACTCCCATGAAAACCAACTTAAAAGAAAGAAGAGTAAGGTTTTGGCCATTAATTTGACCCCGTGATATAAATGAATTCCAAGTAGACAAATACAGTATCTGCTATTTCTTTTACCTCAAACATTCAAGTGCATCTCTTTATTGAGTGTACAGCTAGAAGTGAAATTATTGGGTCACAAAGTATTCAAATGATCAATTTTAGTGCATACTAACAATTTTCCATTGTGATTTTCCAGAGTTTCTCTTATCCTATATATTTCTCTTTTCTAATTGTAGTCATTTAGCCATCATGTTTATCATTTTAACGTATGTGAGTGTGTGCACTTGTGCATATGCCAAGGACTGAACCCAACTGTATTTACTAAAGTTCATCATTTGAATACCCAACAATTTTACTTTTAGCCATAGACGTGAGGCATGCACTCTACTATTGGGCCACATTCCTGGTCAAATTTATCATTCCAATTTAAATGTCCCTGGTGAGGAACCAGAGCTATAATCCAATGGGTAGGTCGCTTACCTTGTACCCCATATGGTCCCCTGAGTCCACTAGGAGTAATCCTTGAGCATAAATCCAGCAGTTAGCCCTGAGCACTGCCAGGTATGCCCTAAAACAAAATAGTAAGCCAAAGAGGATTTTGGAATCCCCTTCCCCTCCCACCAGTCTGCATTACTTTACAGGCAGATGACCTGGATATATACTCTCTGGGGAAGTTACATTTGTTCTGATGGCCTCCTGACAGCATTGCTAATGGCCTCCTGACAGCATTGCTAAGCATTCCTTTTCAGATCTCTGGGAACTTCTAGAATTTGGTGCTTGAATCTGATCACCTTTATTTTGTCATTTCCAGGATCGGCTACCAAGTGCTTATTGACACTGGGGCGCTCAGCTTGGCTGTGGCTGTGGGTTTGGTGTCTGGTCTCCTAACAGGTCAGTATGAGCTCACCCCTGGCTATGTGCCCTGCTCCTTTCCTAGGATCTGTCCACCCAGCTCCAGCCAAATGGGGTAAAGGGCTCAGACCTTGGTTACAAATAAACAATACTAGAATCATATCATCTCAGAACCAGAAAAACGGGCAGGAGGCACTTGCTGTAGGCATGGACTCAGGACCAGGCAAGTGGGGGGTGGGCCCTTAAGGCCAGGGCTGGATATTGCACAGAAGGATAAGGAACCCATTATGCCAAAAAAAAAAAAAAAAACCACCACCTTTCATTTCTCACAGACACTCAAAAATTCTCATAGGCACAAAACTATTTTGTTCAGCAAGTATCTTTTGTTTGCATGTTTCTTCATTTTTGGTGGGGGTGGTCACACCCAGCAGTACTTGGGGTTTACTCCTGGCTCTGCACTCAGGGATCATTCCTGGCATGACTCAAGAGACCATTTGGGATGCCAGGGATCAAACTCAGATTGACCACGTGCAGGGCAGATGCCTTACTTGCTGTACTTATCACTCAGCTCCTGCTCAGCAAGTATTTACTTAGAATCTGCTATAAGCAAGGCACTCTTCTGAGGCACGAGAATACAGTTAAATAAAATAAACTGCCTGCTCCCCTGGAGCTGATGTTCTCCTTGAGGAGAGGGGCTTGACAATAAATAAACAGAGCATTCAAGGATGTGTGCTATGAAGAGTAGGAGAAGGCCTAGGTAATAAGTTGGCCTTTTTGGGGGAGTGGGGGTATACAGAAGCAGTGCTCAGGGCTTACTCTTGCCTCTATGCTTGGGGTCACACCTAGTGGTACTCAGGAGACCATATGGGGTGCCAAGGATTGAACCCAGGTCAGCCATGTGCTAGGCAAGCGCCTTATCTGCTGTACCATAGCTCCAACCTCTATGTGGGGAATTTTAGAGTGAAATCTACTAGAATCATTTAAGTGTATCATTTTGCCTCAGCTTTAAACAAAGCTTGAGAATTAAATAAATATAGATGAGGGCTGGAAAGATAGTATAAAGGGATGGAGCACAAGCTTTGCATGCTGATTAGTACCACATGGTCCCCCAGAACTGCTAGGAGCAGCCCTTGTTGCACCCAAGTGGGAGAAGTCCCTGAGCACTTTTGGGTGTGGCCTAAACCCAATAAATAAATATAGAGGAGAAAATAGCCTTCCACAAGTTTTTATACTAAACATGGTGGCTGTCAAGCCCTAGCAATTTAGAAACATGAAAATACAAAACAACTATTTTCTGCATTTAAAATTAACTTAACATTCTATATTTTATTTCACCACCCCATACCTAGGCTCCCAAACCATTTACCATGGTCACTATTACTGACAGTGTGACTCTGACTTACAATGTCTATTTTAAAGAACCTCTCTTTTCAAGGGGAAGGGGAGTGGAGGAAATCCCCAGGTTTCATACATATGTATGCCTCACATGTATGCAGCCCTAGGTTCAATCCCTGACACTGAAAAAATTTTAAATTAAAATATTAAAGAGAGGGGCTGAAGTGATAGCACAGCAGGTAGGGCTTTTGCCTTGCATGTGACCGACCTAGGTTCAATTCCTAGCACCCCATATGGTCCCCTGAGCACCGCCAGGAGTGATTCCTGAGAGCAGAGCCAGGAGTAACCCCTGTGCATCACCGGGTGTGACCCAAAAAGCAAAAAAAAAAAAAAAAATTAAAGAGATAGTATAAGAAGTAAGGTGCTTGCCTTGCATGCATCTGACCTGGGTTTCAATCCCTGGCACCCCATTTAGTCACCCAAGCTATCAGGAGTGATTCCTATGTACAGAGCCAGGAATAAGCTCTGAGTTCCACTGGGAGAGGCCCCAAAACTAAAAACAAAAGATAAAAAACCAAATTTAAAAATAAGAGCCTACAGAATTGGTTAAGCTGGTTCAGGAATGATAGTGCTTCTATTTGTGTGTCTTCTGGTTGTGACAGAAAAGATTTCTATTGAGATAACATAATATTAAGACAATTTTATTTAACATTATGATCATGTGATTCCTGTTTATTAACTCTAGGGTAACAAATGCTGTTCTCTAAATATGTAACATTTAATCATGAATTTATACAGGTTTGCTCTTAAATCTCAAAATTTGGAGAGCACCTCACGTGGCTAAATATTTTGACGACCAAGCTTTTTGGGAGGTAAGATTTCTACCTGTTATGTTATGGATTTTGAATGAATGAAATCTACAAATATCTGGGTATAAATGTTAATTTCATAGTCATGAGAGTTAAATGGAAGTAAAAGAAAATGAAGAGCAATGGAGGAGGACCAAATCCATATCGTCTAAGTGAACTGAGTGAGTTGTGTGTTGGGAGAGTGGGGAGGTAGTAAAGACTGCCACATTCCTGATGCCTTAGGATCACTGTGGGTCAGGCATAAAAGACCCATCATTGACTATAGTTGTCCCAATCTAGAGTCATCAAAGAAAGCAAATAGGGGGCAGAGCAATAGTACAGTAGGTAGGGCATATGCTTTACAACTGGCTAATTCTTGGCACTCCATATGGTCCCCTGAGCCTGCCAAGAGTTCTCCCTGAATGCTGAGTGAGGAGTAAGCCCTGATCACCACCAGATGTGACTCAAATATATTAAGAAAATTAAAAAAAAACTCTAAAACTTAAAGAATGTTGGATTTATTCAACTGAGAGGCACGAAGCTTAAACTATGCAGCTGCTGCTGAGGGTCTCAATGCTGTGTGTACTGTGTTGTCATGCCTGACTTAGAAAGGTCAGGGGCCAGAGAGATAACATAGTAGGTAGGAAACTTGCCTTGTATGTAGCTGACATGCAAGAGTTTGATCCCCAGCACCCCATTTGGTCCCTGGAGCATGGCCAGGAGTGATTCATGTGTGCAAAGCCAGGAGTAAGCCCTGAGCATTGCCAACAATGGTTCCCCCTACCCTCCAAAAAATACAGGAGGTCAGGGCCCTTTCTGTTAACCCACTACCATCCTCTGTTTGACCTACATTTAAAGTTCAGAAAGCACTGTGCTGTTTGTCACCTTAGGTAATGTTCCGGTCAATGCTCAGTTAGCAGTGCAAGCTTTGCCAATTTTTTTTTTCTTTTTGGGTCACACCCAGCGATGGTCAGGGATTATCCTGGCTCTGCACTCAGGAATTACTCCTGGTGGTGCTCAAGGGACCATATGGGATTCTGGGGATCGAACCCGGGTCAGCAAACGCCGTACCTGCTGTGCTATCACTCAAACCCCAAGCTTTACCAATTTTAAAAGGGAAACTGGGGCAAAGAGAGGTCAGGCTATTGTCCAACATCAGATCTTCCCAAGGACAGAGACCAGACTAGGAACCAGACAAATCTTCTCTCTACCCAACATGTCAAGACAGTGATGGGAAAAGGGATAGAGAACCGTACTTAGCATGGTCCTTGGCATTAATGTCTTCAGGGATAAAACAAAACAAACTACCTCTTCTCTTTTTTTTCTCCCTCTCCTTCCTCTTCATCCACTTGATTCCTTTTCCTCTTCCAACTGCTTCAGATGAATGATTACAGTGAATCATACATATATAAAGTATACAATCTTACACAGTTAAGTGTGTTTATACATTCATTAAACTATAATCATGAATAAAATAGTGAAAAAATACATCACACCAAACATTTCCTTGTGCCTGTTTAAAATACCCTCCTCCTTACTTTGCGACATCCCATCCCCAGGCAACCACTAAACTGTTGCTTTCCATCACCACAGAATAGTTTTCACCATCTATATTTTAATACAAAGTACTATGGTGCAGAATCTCCTTTGGCTTTTTTACTCAGAAATCGAGAGGTAGTCTTTTGTGTGACCTGTCTCATCCTTCACTCTTGACAACCATTGACACTGAGCTTAGCTCAACAGTTTCTCCATGGTCCCGCAAATGCTTTTGTCCCTTTGACAGAAGCAATCTAGTAAAAGGACTTGAAACTGGTTTAATCCCTCTTTTCATTCCATGAACACTTACTGAAGAACTACTATATACCACGCTCTCTGCTAACTAATCAGGCATATCATAAATATGATGATTGAGTTGCAATAAATGTTTTCTAAATAAATAAATGAAATCTAAGAAAACGTACCTAAAAAGAGCTACCACATAGTTCGTGGGTATTGTTTGAAGCACCAGGATTATGGCAATTTACTATAGCAACTGTAAGAAACTAATATAACCACTGATGATAACCCTTTGATACAGTGTGAAAAGATTTCATAAGTGCATGTGTTGCCATTTCAAGAGAATATAATAGATTTTTCTTTTATTAAATAAAACTACATGTGAGCATACAATTAATAAGTATTATGTGACTAAGTATACATTTATAGTTTAATTTTACACAACCGATTTTATATGTAAGAGCCCAGATACAAAAAGAAAAGTTTAAAGGTGTTGAGATTTTTACAGATTTATGTCATGTCTATTTATTTATTTATGTCATCTCTTGAGTTAATGTAAACTCTCTGAACCAGTGAAACCCTGAATACGTCAATGTGATCCCCCCCTTTTTTTTTTTGCTTTTTGGGTCACAACCAGAGATGCTCAGGGGTTACTCCTGGCTCTTCACTCAGGAATTACTCCTGGCGATGCTTGGGGAACCATATGGGATGCTGGAAATCGAACCCAGGTTGGCCGCAAGCAAGGCAAATGCCCTACCCTCTGTGCTATCGCTACAGTCCCATGATCCCCCCCCTTTTCTTTTCTTAATTTTTATTAGTGAGACACCATGACATGCAGTTGTAGACTTACAAATTTTGTGCTTGGGTTTTAATTATACAATGATCAAATACCCATCCCTCCACCAGTGCCCATTTCCCACCACCACGGGTCCCAGTATTCCTCCCACCCGCCCCCCATCCCACCCTGCCTCTGTGGCAGGGCATTCCCCTTTGTTCTCTCTCTCCTTTTGGGTGTTGTGGTTTGCAAAACAGGCATTGAGTGGCAATCATGATGATTCCCTTTTTAAAGTTTGTATTTGCTCAAAGTTTTCTGGGGCATATTCAAAAATATAATTTCACAATTAAAATCTAAAAAAAAAATTAAAAAAAAAAAAGAATAGCTACCACAGCAGCAGGTGAACTGTGAACTGAGTGTGGTACCCTGAATGAGAAGATCTGCGTTCTAGTTACCATTCTGCAAGGTGGCACAAGTAGGCAAGTTCTTTCACCTCTCTCACTGGTTAACAGTGATCTCTGTTCTGCCTCACTGGGTTTTTAGAAGAGCAAATGAGATGATCATGTCCACAGCATATTCTGTAGAATGGCAACCACCACATGAATGTGAGAGTTTAGCACTAGAGGTTCAGTCAAGCAGAAAAGATTGCTTAAGTTATCGGAGCTGCCATTTATTACAAGCCCTGTTTCTAATTTTGGGCTAGATGCTTTTCAACAATATATGATATTATCTTCATCTTAAAGATGAATAGCAACTTCTCTAAAATACAGAGCTAATAAATGGGACAGGAAATAGAGGAATCTGAATCGATATCTGTTTGGCTCTAAAAACACAGCATATGTGAGTGTGTTCAACAGTTATTTCTCCCTCTGGTCTTCTATTTTTCAGAGTTGAATAGAATCATTTATTCATTGATACAACAGTTCGCATTTGAGAAACCAAAGGGCCATTTAAAGAGGCAAGAATTCACATTTCCAAGGCTGACTAATTCAGCATGTTTTTGTAAACTATCTAAAAATGTATTTTACACATTACTTAATCCCCTTATTACATTTCATAGAAGCAGACTGCTGAGTTCTTCAGCTGTGCCAGAGTACACCCTGCCATTCAACATTACTGCATCTGAATAGTCTTGGATGACAGGATTCTAGAACTGGCAATTTGAATAGCTAACATTTATGGGTTAACTGTCTATGTATCAGTCAGTATGCTAACATGTTATACTTTGAATCTTCGCAATAACTCAAGAAGAGAGTATTATCTCCATTTCATTGATAGTGAGACTGAAGCTCTGAGAATTACAAGTCAGAGGAAATAGAACTCAGGATCACAATCAATTTACAAAAGACCCAAAGAAATCTAAAATCAACCTTCAAACATTCAAGAATATTATACAGAAAAGGAAAAATGATTTCCATTCTTTAAAGAACATCACTAACCCAATAGGCAATGCAATAAAAATTACTAACAAATTGAACTGCCTTTAAAATGGAATAAGTATATCGTAGTGAGTCCCTATCACTGGAGGCATTCAAACAAAAATCCATTCAAAGTACACTACTGGAAATGAGATCGAGCTAAGAGCTCTTCTGATTCAGACTTTACGCAGGAACTTCTAAGGCCTTTAAAATGAGACAACAGTCTGGCCAACAAAAGTTTCAAAAGATCAGGTCCGAATTAATATGTGTATAGGGACTGGAGTGATAGCACAGCGAAAGGGCGTTTGCCTTGCATGCGGCTGACCCGGGTTTGATTCCCAGTATCCCATATGGTCCCCTGAGCACCGCCAGGTGTGATTCCTGAGTGCAAAGCCAGGAGTAACCCCTGTGCAACGCCGAGTGTGACCCAAAAAGCCAAAAAAAAAAATTAAATAAAAGAAGTAATATGTGTATAAACCAAAAATACAAGGTTTGACCAAGAAAATGGCTCAAAGGGTTGAAATATCTGCTTTGTGTGTGGAAGCCTCAACTTCACTCTCCAGCATCACATGCCCCTACTCCCATCCCCCCAAGCACCGAGCCAGGAGTAGTCCCCAAGTACCTCTGAGTCTGACCCAAACAATACACATACACACACACAACACACAGCATCTAAATTCACTTGTAATAAAAATGTCTGCTTTTCTTTTTCAGTTTCCTCATTTGGCTACTGGATTTTAAACAAAATCATTCAAGAAAAAAACAAGGCTTGTTTACAAATAAGACAGCATCCTTTCACTGTTGCCCACCTTTTTTGCGTGACAAGCCCATTGCAAAGTCTCTGTATGTACAATGCAATAATACAAAGTCAAAGATGGTTTTGATGTTAAAAATAAAAGACAAAGAAACTTATTTAAGAAGTCATTTCTGTTTAACTTTAAATGTTCAGTTTCATTAAAAATGATGCTATTAACATTTTGGGTACAGACATAAGATTTGGGTTCAATTTTATTGACAGTTCTCAAATTCTTTCTTATGCTTTATTAAAGTATGCTACCCAGTTACCTTGTGTTGATATCAACAAAATAGATGACAAAAAAAACCCCAGAAAATAACAAGTACTCACTTGTATTTAGTTCTTTTAGACGCCTTTATTCCATCAGTTTTACAAAGTAATTATTTACCTTGAACACATTCTGAAATTAACAGAGGGGAAAGATATTGTGGAGGCAAACTATGTTAAGATTAAAATACTAGTTTTATGACCTCGAGGAAATCCTAGAAAAAGAACATGTCCTTCAATTTCAAAGATCTCCTGCAATTCTTATATCCTATGTATCTGAAAATCATGCATGGTTTGTTGTGAGGAAAAAAGTCATTTGTTGAATAGCATCTTACTGACAAAACAATATTCAAAACTTATACACCAGAAGATAACAACGGTGGACGTGGAAGAGTACCACAAATTTAAACTAAGACACTGTTTCTCAGCCTTTATCAGAATATGGCCCCATTCCAACCTTGTTTCCCCATCCCCCATCCTACTGATTGATCCCTTAGTCTTACGCTATGGCTCCCCATTAATGCAATCTTCACCTATGGGCCCTTGGAATATCCTGGGGATCATCTCCTGGTTGAGAAACACTAATCTAAGAGATAGTTTGAATTTAATGAGGGGCTAATTATAACATGTTTTAGGTAAGGAAACATCTCTTTTGTTTGTTTTTAGGTCACATCCAGTGATGCTAAGGGATTACTTCTGGCTTTGCACTCAGGAATTACTCCTAGCGGTGGTCAGGGAACCACACGGGATGCCAGCGATTGAACCTAGGTCGGCTGCTTACAAGGCAAATGCCCTACCCGCTGTATTATTGCGGCAGCCCCTATGTAAGAAAGTATTTCAAGCTGCAGTATATATCCCAGTTAGTTTCTTTTTTAGAAGCAAACAAGCACCCAGGGGCCAAGGAGATAGCCCAAGTGGTAGAGCACATGCCTAGCATGCTCAGGGCACTGAGTTCAACCTCCTGCACAGCATGCCCCCCCCACCCCAGCCCCCCGAGCACCACAGAACACCACTGACTCTGTCAGGTCTATTCCACAGATTGGGCATCACTGAGAACAGTCATGCCCCTTACCCCATTTTACCAAGATGGGGAGTTTAGGGAAAATAATGGTATTCCAAAGAGTAACCGACTATGAAAATTACCCATAGTTAATTTGAAACATATAGACCTATCTGGAGCTTAGAAGTTCAGCATAAAGATAAAACGAGGGGCCTGAGAGATAGTATAATGGTCAGGGTACTTGCCTGGCAAACAATAGGCCAAATTCAGTCTCTGGCACCCCATATTGTCCTTATAGCCCTATTAGGAGTGATCCCTGAGCACCTGAGCCAGGAGTACACCCTCAGCACCACCAGGTGTGGCCCAGTCACTGCTGGAGTCACTGGTGGAGCAATTGGTGTTAGATCACTGTATACCTGAAACGTATTATGAATAACTTTTTGTAAATCACTATTTTAATAAACATAATTTTTTTTAAAAAAATGTCTCGCCTGAGTGAAATGCAATAGAGTGTCAAGTTTCTACCCTTGTCAAGGTCCCACAGGGCTCATGTGTCATGGATACCTGAGTTGTTACCCAACCCTTGCTCCCTGAAATATACATATATATATCATTGTGGTGGCTGGATCACAGAGCTTCTGCCCTGTTCATTCACCCCTTGGGACAACTCTCAAAAGCTGTCTACACTGGAATATCGACAGGACTTTGGGTAAAACCATATAAGTCAAATACAAAGTCTAGTGAAAGGGTTCTGGCCACTTAACAGTTTTTTATTTTAGGGGCTGGAGATATAGCACAGCAGGTAAGGCATTTACCTTGCATGCGGCAGACCGAAGTTTGAATGCCGGCATCCTGTATGGTCCCCCCAATACCACCAGGAGTAATTCCTGAGTGCAGAGCCAAGAGTAACCCCTGAGCATCACTGGGTGTGACCCAAGAAGCCAAAAAAAAAAAAAAACCCCAAACACACAAAAAAGCAAATAGTTTTTTAAATTTTAAACAACCCAACATTTTATTTTCCTTGCCCTTCCCTTCGCTATTGCGATGAGCAGGTTTGTACACATACCTGACTGTGGGGCTCACGTGTTTACCTATGGTACTTGTCGGGGGTCACACGTTAGGCTGGGGTGCATGCACACTCAGCCCCATCACTCACCAAGGGTTGAGCTTCCTTAGCTCATGCACATTCTGGTGGCTGTAGTCATCAGGTGAGGTGCACAACTAGGTCGCAGCCCTTTCTCTGAGGGGCTGCTGGAAATTGAGTGTTGCGCAGGGACTCACAGACAGCAGAGCTACCTGGATCCGGCTTGAGCCGCAGCACTGGGGACTGGCCTCAGGGCCCTACACTGGCAAGGCTGGCATTCTAAGACACTGAGCTACCTCCCAGGTCCCTGAGGAGTTTTTAAAAACAAGAGAATGCTTATTTTTTTTATTTAAAACTTGACACAGAGGAAGCCACATTTAAATAAACATTCAATTCAGAGTTCTTTAATTGTAGTTCTGGACCTTGATTATGACAAGTATTCATATATAATACATTCATAATTTCTTTTTTTTTTTACAAATTATACCATGATAAAACTTTTAAAAATTATTCATGTGAAATATTTTTCTGTAACATTTTATAAGTTAGTCAAATGCATATCACAATAGACTTTTTGTTCTTTAAATAGGAGTTCTCGTGATCTCAGTATTACACAAATTGGAGCTGAGACTATACTCAGAAACAAGTTTAGAAAATGACATCACAAGATTGGGAGTGAGTAGTAAAAAAACAAACAAACAAACCCATTTGGGACTGCTGTGGGGAACGGAATCAGATGTTTTCACTGCCATAAGTCTTCAGTGCGGCCAAACTTAAACACCAGTCCTCTGTGAATAAATTAAGAAAAATCACATGACTAGCTTAGTTTGGGAAAAGAAATAAGTGATCTTTGAAAAATGATGGAAAACTGCAAAGAAAAAATGATGACATATGAAAGCATACGTGAAATGGATAAAAGGGAGTAAATTCTTCTATTAGGCTTCACTGCACTATTTATATTTACACTGGCTTCCCTACATCCTTAACATGACCAGTGAACACACACATCACTTTAAAAATGAGGGGCTAGAGAGACAGCACAGTGAGTAGGGTGTTTGCCTTGCATGCAGCCGACCCGGGTTCGATTCCCAGCATCCCATATGGTCCCCCGAGCACAGCCAGGAGTAACCCCTGTGCATCGATGGGTGTGACCCAAAAAGAAAAAAAAAAGTTAATGAGGGGGCAGAAAGATAGGTCAGGATATAAGGTACTTGGTTTGTATACGGCCACCCTGGTTTGATTCCAGCACCACACATCGTTCCCCAACCACTGACAGGGGTGAGCACAGAACCAGGAATAGACCCTGAGCACCACAGGGTGCACACCAGCCCCCCAGTAAAATAAAAATAAAACAAAAATAAATAAAAGGTCAAGCAGGCCCATGTTGGATTTCTGGCATTGTATAATCCCCTAAACAAAGCTGGGAGTAATCCCAAGTTTGGAATCGGGAATACTTCTGGGCACTGCTCAATGTGGCCCCAGTACAAAAAAAAAGTTAAAGTTAACCAGTGCAGGGGCTGGAGCGATAGCACAGCGGGTAGGGCATTTGCCTTGCATGCGGCCGACCCGGGTTCAATTCCCAGCATCCCATATGGTCCCCTGAGCACCGCCAGGAGTAATTCCTGAGTGCAAAGCCAGGAGTAACCTCTGTGCATCGCTGGGTGTGACCCAAAAAGCCAAAATAAATAAATAAATAAAAATAAAGTTAACCAGTGTAAAGTGCATGACTATACAGTATGTAGTGCATAACAATATGTTTTTTTTTTTTCCGGAGGGAATAGCTGGCGGGGTGGGGGTCAGGGAATCTAGGCCACATCAGACAGTGCTCAGGTCTTAATCCTAGTTCTGTGCTCAAAGATCATTCTTAGTGGGGCTCTGGGACCATATGTGGTACCAGGAATCAAAGCTGATTTGGCTGAATGCAAAGCAAACATCCTACCTGCTATGCTATGCTATGCTATGCTATGCTATGCTATGCTATGCTATACTATACTATACTATACTATACTATACTATACTATACTATACTCTGGCACTGACAATGTCTAATTTGATCAAATTCATGCAACAGCCCTTTTTTGTGGGCATGCTGCAGGTGCTGGAGGTTTGAGCTATAAAGACAAATGAAATACAGTCCTTGACTCCAATTACTCACATTCTTGAGGACACAATGTAGGAAATATTCCTGGAGGAGAAAGTGTTAATCTGTACTAAATGTTAAGGAAGCATAGAAACATAGAACTTACCCTGTCTGTATGTGTTGAAAAGGATATACAGAAGTGATACTATTTGAAATGTGCTTTACAGAACAAGCAGAAATTTGAATGGAGGTTGGTAAGAATAAAAACTACTGGGCTGGAATGATAGTACAGCAAGTAGCGCACTTGCCTTGCAAGCAGCCATCTAGGGTTCGACCTCTGACACCTCACACGGTCCCTCAAGCTAGCCAGGAGTAATCCCTGAGCACAGAGCCAGGAGTAATTACTGAGCACCATCAGTATGTGTGTGTGGGGGGCGGGGGGGAGGCAGAGGGAAATACCTACTGAGATTACTAGAGAGAAACAGCATGCTAAAAGGCAAAGAGAAATGAAAGCTCATAGGCCACAGGAGAGAGATGTATTAGGAATATGCCCTCACAGTCTAAGGTTTAGGTAGGGAAGTATCTATGGTTGTTTTCAGCTTGAGGGACAAGTGGGTCATTATATGCATAAGGATATTAGAAGCAGGAATATATGTATATATATGTAGATATAGGGAAGGTTTCAGTCAGTCACACCCACCAATGCTCAGGGGCTATTCCTGGCTCCTCTGAATATTGGTTATTACTCCTCTGAGTAATGGTTATTACCCAAGCACTGGCAGTGCTTGGGTAACCATAAGTGGTGCTAGGGATTCAAATTGGGGATAGCTGAATGCACGGCGGTGCCTTAAACCCTTTATTACCTCTCTGGTCCAAAATTAAAGTTTTAAGAGATAAGAACCATAGAGACCAGAGGCCAATATTTGGTAAGTCAACTGACCATAAGAAAATACCATGGGCATGGGTGCCAAGACACAGGTGTCAGGTCTACTAAAAGGAGAAAGTGGTAGTCAGTCCCAGGAAACGCATGGAATGAGGCTATCAGAGATACATACTTATTTAAAAGGAATCTGCTCAACTGGTAACTTCTGTGCGAGACCCCAGGATCATTACACATTTTTGTTTTTCAAGACAAAAATTCCACGTGTGTGTGGGGGGGGGGGGTAGGGGGGGAGGGGATGGGGAAGCATGGATCTACTAAGCAGTGTCCATGGGACCTGGGGGCTCAGCCCATCAGGACAGTGGTTCAATGCAAAAGACTGAGGATGTAAAGCACCTGGGCTCTGTGGTGCTGGGGACCAGCCTCATGGTGCTTGGGAGACTCCAGGACCAGTTCTCCAAGGATCCCACCTGTATACTCCTCCAGGTAAAGGTAAAGGTAAAGGTAAAGGCCCTCCCGTTGATCGTCGATTTGCTCGAGCGGGCCCAGTAACATCTCCATCGGAGACTTTGTTGTTACTGTGTCTGGCATATCCAATACTCTCGGTAGCTTGCCAGGCTCTCCGAGAGGGGCGGAGGAATCGAACTCGGGAGCGATAGCACAGCGGTAAGGCGTTTGCCTTGCACGCAGCCAACTCCTCCAGAGTGGAACTTTTTTTCAATGACAAATAAGGAGATTAGAAGTGTTTCAGAAGGAAAACTGGTACATGAAAACTTGGATCCAAGGGAGGAACCAGTTAGAAATGCAAACTGCTCAGGGGGGAATAATGATGCAACATAAACCTGGAAACGGGCAAAGAGGGAACAGATTTAAGAGAGAATCACTCAACAGGACTTAGGTGTGGGGGCATGCGTAAGGGAGAAACTGAGCACAGATGTAGATATTCAATAGCATATGCTGGCTTTCATTTTTTTTCTAATCTGCCTTCTAATTACTGTTATGTGCTCAAAGTTAAACCTGCAATTGTAATGATCAACTTATTTTTTTGTGGAGTGGGGGGCAGAGTAGAAACATTTATTGGACAATAGAAGGAAAAGGAAAGGAAACTCCTCAGCTGGGGAGGAACTTAATATAGGACTAAGTTCTGTAACAATCAATTTAGAACAGGGTTCATCAAATTTTTTATAACGGTAAACACTTGAGTGTTTTAACTGAAAACAAGATGTCCAAGTAGACTTTCAGAACTTTTTGCTTAAAGTCTATTAATTTCTCTTAATAAAGGATTTCAATAACCTCCAAAGCAACATAATTTAAGGTTTGCTATTCCAGTTCCTATTAGACCTACTGCTGCAAAAAAGAAAGACAAAAATAGCTATTAGGGTCTCTACTCTGCAGAAAGCCTAAGAGACATGGGAACCAAGAATACTGGCAACAGAAGTAGACTATAATCTGAAGAGCTTCCTGGGGAAAAGCCATTTCCTCCTACACTGTCAGATGGTGATCTTTAATAGTGACATCTGTTTAATATCTGAAATAGTATTTTCTAAGTTGCTGATGAGTACTGTTCTTAATAAATCAGAACAGCAGGTAATCTGCTACAATTATTTTGATAATGGTAGCTAGAATTGAATTTGTTTGTTTACCTACTTTTTAAAACCCTATTTATTTTGGGGACCAGATCTACGTTTCAGGACTGTCCTGTCATGTATGGGTAGTAGCACTGGTTTGTTTAACTCTTGAGTTTTCACCACCAGTTTTAGACTAAAAGGTATGATGACCCATAGAGGCTGTGTCTTGCCACATCTATGGTCCACTTTTCTTATTTCTAAAATGGTTTCAGTAAATTGCAAAAAATCCTGGTGATGGAACAGAGTAAGTATGAGTTACAACTGCTATTACTAAAAGGAAATTATTAGCATTTTATGAGTGGTTCAGGCAGTTATGGGAATACTACTTCCTTTTTGGGGGGTAGATGGGAAAAGATAGGAAGGAAGTGCACTAAAATAAACAGCAGGGTTTTAGGTTTTTTTTGTTGTTGTTTTTTTAACCTTTCCCAATTAGGGACTTATTTGAAACCCTGATGAAAACCATAGACTCTCTTCGCAGAAATATCAGGGAACATCTTGCATACAGGCGTCTGGAAGTTCCCTAATTTTAGAAGCCCACCTCTGCTATAGAGGATAAGAACTCATTATACAGGGGGAGAGAGAGAGCTTTAGGGCTGGAGTGCTTGTTTCGCTTGTGGGAGGCCTGGGTTTAATCCCAGTACTGGATGGCCCTGAGCACTGCCTGGACTAAATGACAAGCACAGAACTGAGAGTTACCCCTGAGCACTGCTAGGTGTGGCCCCAGAAGTTCTGATATGGAGGATAAAGAGAAGTCTTGTTGCAGGGTGGTAGGGGAAAGGGAAAGTATCCAGGAAAGAATGATTTGAGAGAATTACTGGTAAAAATATTAGGGGGTTTGATTGATCTTTGTCATCGCATCCATCGGAAAGATAAAAATGTTACGACTTTCCTTTCATGTCTCAAATTGCATCAACAAATTCTTTTTTGTCTTTCTTTTTTTTTGGGGGGGGCATACCCAACAGTGCTCAGGGGTTACTACTGGTGATACACTCAAGAATATATTCATGGCAATGCTCAGGTGACCATATGGGATGTTAGAAAGTCGAAACCAGGTTGGCGACATACAAGGCAAACACCCTACCTACTATAATATCGATACAGCCCCTCACATGAACAAATTCTAATGACGTCAATGACAGAACTATGGGGCCAGGGACACAGCTCAACAGATTAGAGTTCATGCTTGGCCCCAGATATGATCTTGAGCACTGTATGCTCCCTCAGCTCCTTTGGAGCAAGCCCCAAACATTAAGCACTCTAGGCATGGCTCAAAACTCAAAAAGCAAACAAAATGGTTGAGGATGTAGCTCAGCAGTAGAGAACTTGACCTGTAGGTGTAAGGCCCTAGGTTTGATCCTGGGAGAGGGGACAGACACACAGAAAAAGGGAGAGAGGAAGAGAGGGCCGATGGAGAGGGAAAGTGGGAGGAAGCGGGGGAAAGGGAGAGAGACGGAAAGGGAGAGGAGGTTGGTTGGTCAGTGGATGGGGGGAAAGGAAGTTAGGAAAACAGAAGAAGAGGAAGACAAAGAACTATCATAGGTGCACAGAAACCATGGAGGGTTTTTGTTGGCTGGTTTTGTCTTGTTTTTTGTTTTGCTTTGTTTTTTAACCAAGGATTAAGTTTACAAGTTCCTACTAGCCCTGGGAGTTTTTTATGGCCCTGAGACATCATCTGGCCTCTTTAATCCCAAACGGCAGAGCTGCCATCCAAACTGTCTTGGTGTGTGTGCCCAGCACCAGGGATTGTCCTCTCGGCCAAGTGCTAGTCGGACAACTACTTTAAGCCACTGAGTTATCTTCCAGAACCTGGAGTGGGGGGTGGGGGCTGGGGCTGGGGGCTGGGGGGCTAAGAATACATAAGAAGTGGTTCTCAGCAGATTTTCTTTAAAACTGTTTTAATGAAACAGATTTAAAAGGAACACTGTCATCTATATCGCAAATTATAATGCCCAAAAGTAGAGAGAGAGAGTATGGGGAAACTGTCGGTCATAGAGGTAGGGGAGGGTGGGATGGGGGAAGGGATACTGGGGACATTGGTGGTGGAAAATATGCACTGGTGGAGGGATGGGGGTTTGATCATTGTATGACTGAGACTCAAACATGAAAGCTTTGTAACTGTATCTCACAGTGAGTCAATAATAAATAAATAAATAAAATTAACACAGTATTAGGTAACTATATCTACATGACTCACACAGTTCATTAAAGGGAAAGGGTGACAACTTGAAAAAAAAAAACCCAATGTATGTCCAATTCTTAAGACTGACATCAAATAAACCACGTATTCAAAGTATCTTGCTCATGCTGCCTTGCATGTGCCTAACTGGGGTTCAATCTCTGGCAGCTCACACAGTCCCCTGAGCCCTGCTAGGAATGACCCCTGAGCGCAGTCAGGAGTAATCCCTGAGCACCGCTGGGTGTGACCCAAAAAACAAAACAAGACAAAATAATATTTCTCAGGATGTCAGAGCAGAGAAGATGCATATCTTATATAAGGCAGACTCTGGTTTGATGTATGACAACTTAAGGTCCCCTGACCACCACCAGGAGTGATTCCTGAGCACCAATGAATATGGCTCCAAACATCCCATCCCTAATTTTTTTCCCTCAGGCCAGAGATGTAGTTCAGCAGTAAAACATTAGCCTTCTATATGTGAGGCCTTGGGTTCCCAGCATCACCAAAACAAAACAAAACAAAAATAAAACAAACCTCTTTCTTAATCATATTCTTCATATTTCATGAAAATTGCAAAAATATTGGGAGAGGCATTGGATAGGTGTGTAAATTAAGCAATTAAATACAGTAAGTGTCACAAAAGAAACTATTATATTTAAAAGATTTTTTAAAATAGTAGTAAGAGGGATGGAGCAATAGCATGGCAGGTAGAGCATTTGCCTTGCACACAACCGACCCGGGTTCCATCCCCAGCATCCCATATGGTCCCCCAAGCACCGCCAGGAGTAATTCCTGGGTGCAGAGCCAGGAGTGACCCCTGAGCATTGCTGGGTGTGACCCAGAAGGTAAAAAGTAAAATAAAATAAAATAGGAGTAAGAACACAAAACAACTTACCCAAAAAAGATGAAGGCATTTTGGAAAAACACAGCAATTCCAGGGTATACTGTGGCTTTTTCTGTAAGAATTACAAAATTTCTAAGTCTATAGAAAATTCAGAAAACACATGATTTCAATTGAAGAATTACACTTTACTCAAAGAATAATTGAAATATGAATCAAGTCAGATCTACTGGTGCTATTTTTGCAAACTGCACTTTTCCTATGCTAAACACACACAACTTGACATGGAATATTAAGCTGGTTTTCATATTTTCTGTTGTCATAAAAGCAAAATTTCAGCCAGAAATCTACAACTAGTGCTTTATCTGAGCTTGTATTAAACTGGACTTATTAAGCAGATGACATTAAGTATAACTTGACTTTTTTATCTAAAAGTGAATGATGTCAGGGGCCAGGGAGATACGCAGGGGTGGGACCATGTTTTGATCCTCAGTACTACATGGCTCTGAGCAAGAGTGGGTGTGGCCCCCAGCATCGATGGGTGTGGCCCTGGAGGGCCCAGAGCACAGTTGGGTGTGGCCCTGGAGGGCCCTGAGCACAGCTGGGCGTGGCCCTGGGAGGCTCCTAACCACAGGGCCCAAGAGAGATCACACCTCAAGTCCTACACAGAACCATCTGGCCCGCTTGGTTGAATATAAGTGGGTATGACCCCCAACTCCCTGAATACTGTTAGAGAGGAACAATGACATATTATCAGGGAGAGTTAGCTAAATTAACTTCACTTGTAGGATATTACAGTTCTGCACAAAAATCAACAAGTCAAAATTTGTCAAATAGCTATGGAACATGTATATTTTGCTTATAAAGATTCTGGAAGTCAAAGAGAAGCAAGGTTTGGAGCTATGACCTATTATTTCCAGACCTTAAATTATAAGGGGAAATAAAAAACAGAAGGAATATTAAAAACAGTAAATAAGTAACAGCAAATAAACAAAATATTCAAGAAGCATTGCCAGACATAAATCCAATGCATGTTGTTGGTCCTAGAATATGAAAAAAAGTTTTTTTCTAAAACAGCCAACTTTCTGGGGCTGGAGCGATAATATAGCAGGTAGGGCATTTGCCTTGCATGCGGCAGACCCAGATTTGATTCCTGGCATCTCATATGGTCCCCTGAGCATCACCAGGAGTAATTCCTGAGTGCTGATCCTGGAGCAATTGTCTGCATTGCTGGGTGTGATCTAAAAAGCCAAAATAATAAAAATTAAAAAACAGCAAAGGGGGCTGGAGTGATAGCACAATGGGTAGGGTGTTTGCCTTGCATGCGGCCAACCCGGGTTCAATTCCCAGCATCTCATATGGTCCCCCGAGCACCGCCAGGGGTAATTCCTGAGTGCAGAGCCAGGAGTAACCCCTGAGCATCGCCAGGTGTGACCCAAAAAAGAAAAAAAAAATCCAAGTTTGGGCTGGAGAGACAACTCAACAAGCTGAATGCAGTAGGCTGAGATTGGATCCCTCACACTGCATAGTCTCGCCAAGGAACCTCCAAGTACAGAACTAGTAGCCCCCAAATATCACTAGGTGTAACCCAAAAAACAAAAATAAAATAACCAACAGTAACAGAAAATTTCTGTATCCTATTTGAGTGAAAGGTAAATTGTTTTCTCTCACCTGTAGCAACATAACCTCCAAAAAGAATCCACATAGATGCAATCAGAGATCCAAAGGCCAACATGAAACCAATGAATAGCCAAATTCGAGCACCTTAAAAGAACAACATTTTACTAGAAATTTTTTATCACATAGCAGTAGTCAATTAACGTTTTTTTGAAAAAGAAAAATCCATGAGGCTGGAGATTACAGCAGGTAGGGTGCTTGTCTTGCACGCAGCTGACCTGGGTTTGTTCCCAAGTATCCCATATGGTCACACCACCAGGAATAATTTCTAATTATCACCAGGTGTGGCCCCAAAACATAAACAAAACAAAGAAAACAAAAAAAATCTAAACAGAAAAAAACATGTACTTGCCACTAAAAATCTAAAATAAGAGCAGCAGAAGAAGATGCACTAAGTACCATCAATAAAGATGTTGGCCTTTCGCTTTGGTAGGTATGTATATTCTATTCTAAGTGCCTATATGTACTTTCCCCAATTATGTACACAATAACACACACACACACACACACACATTCTACTTCAGGGCTAGGGAAATGTCTTAAAAGACTGAAATACGTGCTTTGCATGGAGCAAACCTGGGTTTGTTCCCCAGTACTTCATGATCTCCCCAGAACATCAGGGAGCAGCTCCTGAGCAATATCAGGTATGACCCTTCCTCCCCCTAAATATTAAAAAAAAAAAAACCTCTACTCAATATTCCTACAAAAATTTCCTAGGAGGGACCAGAGAGATAATACAGAGGATAAGATGCTTGCCTTGCACCCAGTCAATCTGTGTTTGATCCCTGGCAGTCAGCCCATATGGTCCCTGGCCTCATCTAGAGTGATGCCTCATCTCAAGGACTCCGGGATCGGCTTCCCCTCTCCCCGCCCCTATGAGATCCTGGCTGTCCCACCCATGAACTGTCTCCAGGTGCCATTTAAGCACATTATGGCCATGATCCAGAGACTCACAAATAAATCTTGGAACCAAGAAGCTTGCTGCAGAGATACCGCTGGACCCTAACCATTTAAAATTTTAGAAAATAAAAATTTTAGAATTCCAGGACATTTCATGCTGCTTATAATAAGCAATACAGGGGCTGGAGCAATAGTACAGAGGGTAGGGCATTTGCCTTGCACGTGGCCGACCCAGCATCCCAAATAGTCCCCTGAGCACTGCCAGGAGTAATTCCTGAGTGCAAAGCCAGAAGAGTAACCCCGGAGTATCACTAGGTATGACCAAAAAATAAATAAATAAAATTTAGACTTCCAGGACATCTCATGCTATTCATAACAAGAATACAGGGGGCTGGAGCAATAGTACAGTGGGTAGAGCATTTGCCTTGCATGTGGCCGACCCAGGTTCGATTCCCAGCATCCCATATGGTCCTCTGAGCACTGCCAGGAGTAATTCCTCGGTGCAAAACCAGGAATAACCCCTGTGCTTTGCCAGGTGTGACCCCAAAAAAACAAAAAAAGGATTTATTTAGAAAGATGTGAGGGGAAAGAGAGGGAGAACTACATGTTCAAGAGAAAAAACAGGCTCCTCTAAGAGTGCAAATAGGCAGAGAAACATTAAGATAAGCAAGTGAGATACGTGTTCAAGAGAGAATAAGAGCTTGAAGAGTTAGTAAACTCATGTTTTAAAATATTTGATTATTATACTTTGGGCACATGTTTAGAGTTGTAACACTTATAGTTCCGATTCACAGTTATTTCACTTCTTCACCACCAAAGTGTCCAAGACTTTTGACCAATGTTCCCCTGTTGAATTCCTAGAAGCCTATTCTTGACCTTTTTTATAAATATACTGTGCTCCAAAGTTTAAAGTCAGTTCCCCAAAACATTGTTGTACTTGATGGAACGTTGTTGTACTTGATGAAAAATTCGTATTTAGTATTATGTAAATTTAAACACTAGTATATTTCACCTTCACAGAAACAACAAAGCAAATTACAATAACTATAGCTGGTTCTTAAGAAAGTGACATTAGAATTAACATTAGCAGACAAAGACAACCAGCTTTTAAATCACATTTCTACAATATTTATGAAGACTTGCTACAAAGAGAACCATTAGATTGTCTGAAATGAATTCTGAGATGAGCTTCTCTATGTAATTAGAACACATTTTCACAAAAAAAAAAAAAAACACAGCCTTGTTAAGCACATAAGTAGAATTGTTATATATAAATTTGACTTTATATCCCAAAATAAAGCCACAGTTCTGAAATAATAATCTCTTACTCATAGATGTGCTTTTAAAACAAATATAGTCTCGCATTTGGCTACAACACGAGAAGAACTGGAAGGTCCCATGTTAGGCATGTAATGTCTCAAGGAGAAAAGACAAATCCAATGATTTCAATAACATGTTGCATATAATCAAAAAAAAAAAAGCAAGGGAACAGACAGTATCCTCAGATTCTGAACACAGACCTGAAAATAGCAAGCAGGAAATGGGGAAAAGGGTGCGTGGGAGGAAGGGGATAGAAAAGGAACCTAGGGACAATAGAGCAGGATAACTGGCACTTTGGTCATGAGTGTGACACACTGACATTGTATAACTACACCATAAATATTTACAAGACTATAAAAAAACATTGTAGCACTGTCCTCTCATAGATTTGCTCAAGTAGGCCCAGTAACATCTCCATTGTGAGACTTGTTACTGTGTTTGGCATATTGAATAGATCACGGGGAACTTGCCAGGCTTGCCAGGCTTTGCTGTGCGGGCGAGATACTCTTGGTGGCTCTCCGAGAGGGGCAGAGGAATTGAACTCGAGTCGGTCAGGATGGCTGCGTGCAAGGCAAACGCCCTACCGGCTGTGCTATGCTCTAGCCCAATTTAATTACATTGTACTTTAAAAAACTTACAACTGGCCCTTAACCCCAAAGCTGTGCTAAGAAATTTTATTTAGAGATATGATGGCCATGTAAGAGTCCAGTTCTAGCTATTACAGCTTACTATCAACCTCAACTATTCACCTCTATGGATTCACTTAGCGTTTACAAGACTACGACAGGTCAGTGTTTCTCTATCTGTTTGGCTTAATTTCTACAAAAAAGAGTGAACCAGAAGAGAGGCTGAGGGCACAGACCAAAGCCTACTACTGCAATTTCTCATTCCATCTAAAAAAAAGTTGCTTGAAATTTTCCTATATCCAGGTTTCTTTCTATGTGAATGTAATATTTGAAATTCAGAATTGAAACTACTTAATAATAACCTGTCTAATCACTGAATAAACTGGACATTCTATAAAAACATGCCACTTATATCCTTCCCGTATCCTGCCTATTCTGGGACATGGCCGTGGAGTCACGGGGACACATATGACTCAGATAAGAAGGGCTTGGGGGGGGGGCTGGAGCGATAGTAGAGCAGGTAGGGCATTTTTGCCTTGAACTCAGCCAACCTGGGTTCAAGTCCCAGCATCCCATATGGTCCCCCGAGCACCACCAGGACTAATTCCTGAATGCAAAGCCAGGAATAACCCCTGAGCATTGCCAGGTGTGACCTAAAAAGCAAAAAAAAAAAAAAAAAAAAAAGCAGGGCTGGGGGCCAGCAGGGAACATAGCTTGTGACACAGCACATGCCTTGCCTGCAGGAAGCTCCAGATTCCATACTCAGCTGGGAAAAAAAGTTAATACAAGAAGAACCTGGGCTAAGGTTGGATACCACATCCAAAACATGGTCAAATGCCCAGCACTAAGGGGCTAGCGGGAGTAAAGGTGTGGACTAATCCAAGGACCAAAGTTCTATTATTCACTTCAGTTGAATAAGATGAAAATAGTTCTGGGTGTGGACGCACAGCAGTGCAAATGAACTTAACATGAAATACTGTAATCTTCGAAATGGATAAGACACTGGGAATCCTGGAACCGGCTAGGCTGGTGCAAGGCAAACACCCCTCCTCCTGTACTGTCTCCAGCCCCATGAGCACATGCTTTTTAGCGGGCCACCCTAGCAATGTTCATGGGCTGCTTTCTGGCTCTGCACTCAGGAATCCCTTCTGGTGGGCTAGGGAGACCATATGGAGTGCTGGGAATCAAACCCAGGAGGCCGCATGCAAGGCAGGTGCCCTACCTGCTGTACTATCACTCCTACTGGGTCACATGCTTTTCATGAAGGTGGCCTGTGTTACATCCCTGGCACCATATAGTTCACCAAGTACTGCCTGAAGGAATCCCAAGCACAGAGCCAGGAACAGATCCAAAACAAAATAAATATATTTATATAGTACAGCTTAAGATACTATATAAATTCTATATTATACCATCATTTTATATTACTCACTGTATACATAATTATACCTACATCATATTATATTGGATTATATACTCAACTTTTATATTTTATGCTACATAAGCAAAATATGCATATAATTTCTACTCAAGATATACTTCCACCTCATTCATGATAAGAAGGAATTGATAAAGGTCCTTTTATGTAAAATTCTCATTGTAAGTATATTAAGATGTTATTTGTAGCTATTTACCTGTTTGACCCAGGCAACCTTCACTGTAACTATCACCTCGGACTTGTCCATTTGATACTGCATTGATCCTGTGTGAATAAACAAAATAGAAATCAAGGTATCTCTAATTTCAAGAGGGAAGTTACTGTAACACAAAATTACCAGATATAAAAAGCTAGATTTCCTCAAATTTAAGGTTTTGACTAATGGGTTCAGTTGACCTCAAGCAAGTTGCTTCAACCACTGGTCAGTCCGCAGATATAGAAAGACTGAAAGAACACAGAGAGTACACTGAGTAGTGGGGTTTGCCTTGCACAGAGCCAACCCAGGTTCATTCATTGGCATCAACTACGGTCCTCTGAGTACTGCCAGGAGTGATCTCTAAGTATAAAGGAAGGAGTAAGGCCTGAGCACAGTTGGGTGACCACACACACACACACACACACACACACACACACACCAAAAATCAATACACTGCTCTAAGGCAGTGATTATAGGTTAGTTAATATAAATGTCAGCAAAGGTGCAGAATCAGCATCCCCTGGATCTCATCAGATAAACTGCAACTACCTAAATTCACTAAAGCAGAAAATCTGAGTATGGGGCCCAGCAACTTGGATTTTAACAAATCTTTCTGGTGATTCTGATACTTGTTAAAATTTTGAGAGTGAAATTCACAAAATTACACTTTGGTAAGATGGAACAATCTTCAGCTTGGTTCTGTATAATTTTCTTTGGTTTCTGGGCCACACTGAGCTGTGCTCAGGGCTTGGGCTTATTCTTGTTTATTTTTGGGCTAGAACCAGCGATGCTCGGGGGTTACTCCTGGTTCTGCACTCAATGACTCCTGGCAGTGCTCGGGGGTTACTCTTGGCTCTGCACTCAATGACTCCTGGCAGTGCTCAGGGGAACACATGAGATGCTGGGGATTGAGCCTGGGTTAGCGACCACATGCAAGTATAGCACCTGCTGTATTATCTCTCCAACCCCTGGTTTTATTTTTTTTTAAGTATTTAAAGTATCACCCACTTTAGGAAATACTGATCTGTTTTAAAGCCTGGTGGGCCAGAAGCCAGCTCTTAGGAACTTATCTCCCTTGCTGAGAGGCATGGGAAAGTCATTAGCAGGAAAATGTCTTCTTATCCTTCAACCACCTTCTCTCTGCCTTCCCTTTCTCCTTTAGCAGCAACTCAGATACAAGCACTTCATTGACCCATCAGAACTCACAAGGCAAGTGCCCTACCCACTGTACTATCACTCTTTTATCCTTACCTGCTATCCTATCTCTGGTTCCGAGTGCTACTTTTTCACACCTCAGACATATTCAACATATAACCATGCATGGCAATGGTTGATAAAGAAAGTAGGCCCTAGACAATTCAAAATTACTTAAAATTGGCTTTGGGATGCATATTTAATAATAGTTTCATAATAATGAACAGCATCTGGAAAAACAATTATATTTCAATCAATAATAATGTTTAGCAAAAAAAAAATAGTAATGTTTTGCTATGTACTATTGAAGAGATCCAAGTAAGGTACTGTTTGGGGGTCTGGGAATGCAGCTCAGTGATAGAGGAATGAGGCTGTGACTTCTTCAATCCCTGGCACTACCCACTGAGTAGAATCCCGGGGACACCTCTGATGTAACCCTGTGTTACAATTATGGGATCTCCAGCTCACTGCAACCAAGTATTCAACTCCCAGACATTGCAGCAACAAAGGGAAGGGAGTGGCGGTAGGGACACACTGGTTAAGACATAGTCCTTGCACGATGCCAACCTCAGTCTGATTGGCATTACATGGTCCCTTGAGCCTAGTCAAGGAAGCATTATTAGGAGTAGCCCTGGAGCCCTCAGCCCCACCAACTGGTACCCAAAAGGTCCTGTAATCCCTGAGCCACAGGCCTTGAGCAGCTCAGCTTTGGGCCCTTGCACTGGTCCAGCTAAGAAAAACAGGGAGGCAGCCCACATTTCCTGAGCCCTATTTGGGAGACACTCCCTCCCCACAGAAAAGCCTTAAAAATATGGTTTTGTAGGGTTTATCTATTTCATAAACATTATAATATATATTAGAACTGAATTATTAATATTTTAAAATTTTACATACCTGACAAAATGGTATAAAAATTACTTTATCAACTTAAAAAAATTATTAAGGAGCCAGATTACAGTGTTATGGTACTTGCTTTGCACCTTAATCCCAGCACTAAATGGTCCTGTGAGCACTGTCACGGGCAACCCCTGAGCACAGAACTAGATGAACATAGACCAAAAATACTCCTGAAGGGGCCAGACCAGTAATACAACGGTAGGGCTCTTGCCTTACACATGGTTAATCTGGATTTGATCCCAGGCACCCCATAAGGTCCCCTGATCCCTCCAGGGGTGATCCCTAAGCACAGAGCTAGGAGTAAGTCCTGAGCATTGTGGGACATGACCCAAAAACAAACAAACAATAGAATAACTTATTAAATATTTGTTGGATAAATAAACAGAAGTACACAGTTTTCCTGACTTAAACATCAACAGTACAGAATTAAAAGGAGAAAAACATTGACAGCATAGAAGAATAGTCAGAGAGAAGCTGGGAGATAAAACTGAATGAGAAAGATGGGAGAAGTAAGAGGACGGTAACTTTTCTTTTTAGAAGTTCATTTCTATTGGGCTGGAGCGATAGCACAGCGGTAGGGCGTTTGCCTTGCACGCAGCCAACATGGCCGACCCGAGTTCGATTCCTCCGCCCCTCTCGGAGAGCCCGGCAAGCTACCGAGAGTATCTCGCCCACACGGCAGAGCCTGGCAAGCTACCCGTGGTGTATTCGATATGACAAACACAGTAACAATAAAGTCTCCAATGGAGACGTTACTGGGCCTGCTCGAGCAAATCGATGAACTACGGGAGGACAGTGACAGTGACAATGACATTTCTATTATTTGACTTTTAACTCATGTCCAATATATCGATTTTGTAGTATCTGAAAATTTTAAATCCGTCCTCAAAATAAATAAAAGGGGCTAGAGTAATAGAACAGTGGGTAGAATGCTTGCCTTGTACATGGCTGACCTGGATTCGATCCCCCCGCATCTCATATAGTCCCCTGAGCACCACCAGGAGTAATTCCAGAAAGCAGAGCCAGGAGTAACCACTGGGTGTGACCCAGGGCGTTTGCCTTGCACGCAGCCAACATGGCCGACCCGAATTCGATTCCTCTGCCCCTCTCGGAGAGCCCGGCAAACTACTGAGAGTATCTCGCCCACACGGCAAAGCCTGGCAAGCCACCCGTGATGTATTCGATACGCCAGACACAGTAACAACAAAGTCTCCAATGGAGACGTTACTGCGCCTGCTCGAGCAAATCGATGATCAACGGAAGGGCCTTTACTTTTAATCTACTCAACTCTAATCTACAAAACTCTATTATTTGGGGTTTGGAAAATAGCTCAGTGAGTTGAGAACATGTTTTGCAAGAGACTCGGATTATATTTCAGGATCACAGAGCCCCTGACACTGCTGAGTGTGACCCCAAGATTAAAAAAACAAACAAAAAAAAACCCCACAAAATTTTATTTTGTGACAATCCATGTAAATAGTATCACAATGGCACTTACATTAGAAAGGCTATGGTTGCTATGACACCACAAGTATGATATGAGTGGTTGAATTCCTCCATAGTGGGATAAATGACAGCTGCATCTATGATAATCCACCAGCCTGTAAAAAACTAAAAACAAAAAGAAAAAGATGATACAATGAGAAATTGCAACAGCTTCACACTTTACTGGCTAAAAAAAATAAAGATCAAGCTATGTGAAAGAATTCCTTCTAATGATTTTCAATTTTTCTTAAATGTTACAGCAGTTTCTTACATATAGTTTATTTGCACATGATTTAATATTGGTTACCCTTAAAGTCTGAGGGTAACTGATAATCGGTGGGTGGGGGGGTGGGGGGGTTGGGAGTGACACACCTTGTGATGCTCAGAGTTACTCCTGGTTCTGTGTTCAGCAATTACTCCGTGGTGCTTGGGGGACCATATGGGGTGCTGGGGATCTGGGGATTGAACCTGGGTTGGTCACATGCAAGGCAAGGTGCCTTACCAGTTATACTATCGCTCCAGCCCCAGCAGTTGATAATTACTTACAGGAACTTCTTTTCCAAGTCTTATCAGTATTTTAAATTGTTATAAAAATTATGTATCTTTTGTGTGTGTGTGGGGAGAGGGTTGGGGGCACACCCTGAAGTGCTCAGGACTTAGGCCTGGTTCTATGCTCAGCGATCATTCCTGGAGGTGTTCAGGGGACCATATGTGATACAAAGGATTGGATCAGGGTCAGACACATGCAAGGCCAGCACCTTAACACCATCACTATCTCTCTGGCCCTAAAGTCTGTAATCTTATCTTGTAAACTACACTAAGTTACAATAGCTCATTGCAGGTAAAAGGAAAAAAGTGACTCAGATTCCAAGTGACAAGAATGGTCTGCCACTGATATATGTCTCCAGAGGATATTAATATAAACAAAATACATACATGGGACATGGGGAAAATTATTTAAAAAATTTTAGCTATCCTCTTTTCTTTTTTTTTTTTTTTGCTTTTTTGGGTCACACCCGGCAATGCACAGGAGTTACTCCTGGCTCTGCACTCAGGAATTACTCCTGGCGGTGCTTGGGGGACCATATGGGATGCTGGGAATCGAACCTGGGTCGGCCATGTTGGCTGCGTGCAAGGCAAACACCCTACCCGCTGTGCTATCACTCCAGCACTTTAGCTATCCTTTTGGTATTGTAAAATAATGGCTCCATGGCTCTGCTTTTCATTTTGCTAAGTTATAAGTGGCTTCAGGTGTGATGGTAAGTTCAATACCAAATTATAATTTTTTGCTATAAATTGGTTCTAAATAATATATTTTAATAGTTTTTTATTTATTTATATTTATTTATTTATATTTATATTTTAAGTAAGATTATGAGGGGCCAGAGAGCTAGTTCAGTGGACAGGGCTCTTACCTTGCACGTGGTTAACCCAGGATCCAACCCTGGCACCACATATGGTCCCCTCAACACAGCCAGGAGTGAGCCCTGAGCACAGCTGGGTATGGCCCCAAAACAAACAAAAAAGATGAGAAAAAAATTAATTCTGGATTATGGAAGGACAGAAAAAAAATCTTTCTTGACTAGTTTCAATCTGTTGAATAGTTCCTGGTTTAATGTACTGAGAGTATGATAAGCCTATATATAGGTAGATAATTAAATGTACAAAATATATTGCCATGTCATTTTCACTATGAAGTAAGAAAAATAATCACATGTCATCATTATTTCAACTGTTAAAATAGAATAACTCAACTTTCTCATAAATGTTAATGTTAAAATTAAGTGGTAAAAGATAAAACAATCAATGCCTATTTTAATATATTATAAAAAATTTAATACACAAAATTATTACAAACACACCAAAATAATAAAGGCCCAAATTATCAATGACTTACTAGAACACCAGCAGCAATTGAAGCAATTGTATTTCGTTTTTCCCCCCAATCAATGCATTCTGAGCATCTAAAGCCTTCTAGAAATCCGGACATTTTCCCAGGTCACTTAAAAACAAACAAAACAAAACACAACTAAATAAAGTACTTGCATTAATTTGCTTCAAAATCTGACATATTCCTAGAAAACAACAGTTAAAATTATTTAATAAAAGAAAAAAGATGCTTTTGGGGGGGCTACTTATATCTTTTGAAATACCTTAGTGTTTCATAAATTTATGTTATAATTTTGGATAATAAAATGTGATTCTCATATATACCAGGGTTTATATATATCAATATCAGGTTATATATATAAATATATATATCAACATCAGGGGTTTTGTTTTTATTTTATTTATTTGCTTTTGGGGTCACACCTGGCGATGCTCAGGGGTCACTCCTGGCTCTGCGCTCAGGAATTACTCCTGGCGGTGCTCGGGGGACCATATGGGATGCTGGGACTCGAACCCCGGTCTGCTGCATGCAAGGCAAATGCCCTACCCACTGTGCTATTATTGCTCCAGCCCCTTGTTTTTGTTTTTAAATGTACAAGTACTAATATTTATTCATGGGCAGCAGCATCAGGTTTTACATATCTCAGGGTTTATATATATGCTATATATATACATATGGTTTACTTCTGTCTCTGCAATCAGGGGTCACTCCTGGCAGGGCTTGGGGGACCACGTGTGGTGCTAGGGATCAAGCTGGGTTGGCTGCGTGTAAGCCAAGCTACCCTACCCATGGTACTACTGCTCCAGCCCCAGTTTTCTTTTTAATTTAAAAGATGGTTTTTATTCAAAAAACACTTTTGATTGAGTAAAAATAAAGTTATCCCTCTCAGAAAGACTGGCAAGCTACCGAGAGTATTCTGCCCGCACAGAAGAACCTGGCAAGCTATCCGTTGTGTATTCAATATGCCAAAACCAGTAACTACAACTGGTCTCAGTCACCTGACCCTGAAGATCATGAATCAGTTTGAGGCTCTTCATGTTCCCAGAGCGAACAGATGCCATTGGACTACACTAGCACGCGACAGGGACAAATGGAGACGTTACTGGCGCCCGCTCGAGCAAATCGCCGACTAATGGGAAGTTAAGTGATTAAGTGATTAAAAATAAAGTTTAAAGATGGTTTTGGTATAAGTAATTTGAACAAAAGGGAACCAAAAAACCTAATGTTTATTGTTCCCCTGAATATCTTATTTCCAAGTACTTTATTCAAGTGATTCTTTTAATAAGTTTAATGAATTTTCATTCTCATTCTAAATTATTATGATTTTGACATTTACCACTGAAGAGAACTAATGTAGTGAACACTATGGCTCTGAGTTACAGCATGGACTCAGATGAAAAGTACTTCTTGCACAAATTTGTAATTTTATTACAGAATTTGTGTTTCTACACATTAAACAGCGCATTGAGCTTTTGATCACTTCATTTTTCCCCCTTTCCTTTTATGGTGTTTATATGGAAAGAATATCCGTTTCATTTTTTTTTCTGGTTTTTTTTTTGCTTTTTGGGTCACACCCGGCGATGCACAGGGGTTACTCCTGGCTCTGCACTCAGGAATCACTCCTGGCGGTGTCAGGGGACCATATGGGATGCTGGGAATCGAGCCCGGGTTGGCCACGTGCAAGGCAAGCGCCCTACCCGCTGTGCTATTGCTCCAACCCCTCCATTTCATTTTAATATCTTTGATTTTAATGTTTCCTAGTTCAAAAAATAATTGAATGCTAATTCAGACCAAAAAAAATCTAATTCACTGTTAAATGACATCAAGCCTAAATTGCTTTAACACATTACGTAAATTTTTAGTCAAACAGATGTAGCAGATGTAGTGTATTATCTCTAATGCAGAATATGAAATCAGAGTATGAGCCTGAGTTACATATAACCTGCTAATAATGGAGAAGCCCAGACTCCTGAAATGAATATCCATAAAGCATATCCATAAAGCTGCTCTGTAGCCAGTAATCACAGTTGTCCAAAGATACCCTAAAAGAGGGCAACCAATCCAACAGTAACTTCCCTTCTTAAAATGAAGCATTTGGGGCTGGAGCGATAGTATAGTAGGCGGGACGCTTGTCTTGTAGCAACTGACTCAGGTTCAATCCCCAACATCCCAGCTTCCATCCTAGCCTGCCTGGAGTGATCTCAGAGCACTAAGCAGAAGGAAACCCTGAGCCCTGCTGGGTGTGGCTCCAAAACCAAAGACCAAAGCAAACGGGAAACATTAAAACTGTGACTATCACCAGTGTCAATAAGCTTAAATTTTAAGGCCAAGTTCAGTTTTGAAGCCCATTCTGAATTCTTCTGGAGGACTAGCAATCAAGTACGTGTTTATTTTGTTTCGTCCCCATGACGTCTCCGAATCTTTTTTTCTTCCCCTTTCTTCTCTGGTTTGTTACTGACACGCTCATCCTCCAACTCCACCCTCCAAGACCCGGAGAATTCGGGGGTGCAGAATGGGCTGTGACTTGGAATTGGGAGCTAGCTCTCACTCGGCCACCTCCCTGGCCGTGAGAACCAGTCGAGCCACCCTCCTTCCACCGCTCCGAAGTGTGGGTGTTTGGGGGACCCCGTGACTTCACGAGGAGGGCGCGGTCCGGCTGCTCGGCCGAGTCTCGACGTCGTGACTCTCCCGCCGGCGGCCAGACACGGAAGGAAGTGACCGGAAGGGCAGAGCCCGGCTCGGCAGCTTCCCGGGGATGGATGCACCCATCCTATGAGTAGCATCAGCCCCGCCAGACAGCGGCCGACTCGGAGCCCCGTGCGCCCCCAGGCCGCCGCCTCCCGTCCCCGGGCCCCTCTCCCGCCTGGCTCTTACGTCCGATGCCTCCCTCGCGCTCAGTCTGGAGCCCCGGAGTCGCGCCGCGCGGGGACGCCTCGTTCTCCCACTTTCCGCCCAGGAAACAAAACAGCCACGGGCCGCTGGGTACCCGGATGGAGCAGCACCGGCTCGGGAGCTGGGTCGCGCATGCGGAGACAGAGGAGAAGGGCGGGGTTCAGGGCGGGAAAGGCGAGCAGGGGGCGGGCCCGGGGCGGGCAGGAGGCGGGGCGGGCCGGCGGGTGCATGCCCCCCGCCCGCGGAGCCCGCCCCTCGGCGCCGCCCCTCTGCGCCCGCAGCGAGCGCTCTCTGCAGACGTCCGAAGGGTTAGACGTGCACCCTCCCACCCCCAAATAAAGGGTAAATGCGAGCAGTCCTGATTTTCCCTGGTCTTTCCAAAGGAGGGTGTCTGTTGCTCCTGTCTGAGTCCCAAGTGTAAGTTTTCGACCACTGGGCTCGGGTCAGCAGTTATCTTGGGCACGGTTTGCGGGAAGAGTGGCGAGTCTCCCACCGTTCAAAAGACGAGACGCGCCATGCGACCCCACTGCTTAAATTGCACTTTGCAGAGTTTGATCTGGACCTGTCTCCTTCCTATCTAGTTAGCTTGCTCCATCTTTTGAGGTCCTAGTTGCGACGAGCCGTTTGTTTTTAGGGCCGGAAAGATGATGCTGTGCGATTAGGTGCTTGATTTATTTGTTGCTGACCCGGGTTCAATTCTGAAGCAGCGCCAAGAGTGACTCCGAAACATGCCCAAAAGTAAACCGCTGCACAGTCCTTACCAGTACCCTCTGAAGCTTCTACACATTCCTTACCAGGACTCTCCATTTGTGCTTACCAAAACTATATCCAGAATTTGCCAAATATCCTCTCTACTTCCTGGGAAAATTAGAGAAAATTAGCCAGGTTGAGAATCCCTATTTAGGGGATACCTCAAAGCAGCACTACCCCAGCTATCTGAATGTGTCGTGACTGGGTTCACCTGCTCTCCCAGATGCTCTAGGTCTTGTTACAGTCTCCAGCGGGTCTCCCAGGAATCAGAGCCCTGGGGAAAAGGGACGTCTCCTTTCTGATGGTGCATTGCACCACAAGAAGGCAGGCGCTATTCCGTCCTGCTGCTGATCCCGCAGCAGTTCCTGCTCTCCGTGAACGTGGCTACCAAGGGCTGTGATCACAGGAGTGACTGGGCAGGAACTTTGAGCCTGTGGTGTGAAGAAAGAATGCAGCAGTTGGAGAACTAGGAAGAAGCCCTAAGGCAGAACCCCATTTGTTTTCAATTTTAAAGATGGTTACTGTCACTTTGGTTAAGACCAATGCTCAGGTTTATTGTCTTTGCCTTACATGTGGCTGACCCCAGTTTGAATCCCCACACCAGCATATGGTCCTTTGAGCATAAAACTGGGAGTAATCCCTCAGTATAGAGCCAGAAGTAAGCTCTGAATACTGCTGAGTGAGCTCATTTAATTTCTCTGATTTCCTTTCGAAGTATTAAATCTTTATAATTTTGGCTAGGGATGAATTAGCTGGTCAATAGACAAAACTAAAGCATGCAAGCCATAGCCTTTTTAAAAAAAATGTTCATCATTCTTAACCTTCAGGATTAAAGATTAATTGTGACTGTTAAGTGGCGAGGTAAGGGAATCTACTGCAGGCAATTCTTAATGGAATCTTTTAATGTCTAGTAATGACTTAACATTCGTTTACCAGCTCTGAGCAGTATTTAAAAATTTTTGCCTTCAGGTTCTAATATGTTAACTAATGACTGTGAGAGGAAGAATATTAACTTTCTTTTCCCTTTGCTTTTTATAAAACTTAAGTATCTTTGTATTGCTATTTTAATAAAATACATCCTTGATTTGTCATTCTTACCTCTGGGGACAATATGCTGTAGAATTAATTAGTCTTTATTTGCCCTTTGTGGATAAAAATGAAGTTATTAGAAAGAGCAAAAGCCAGTACAGCAAAATTATTAGGAGTAGCAAACCTGAACTTGCCAGCTCAGAACTATTCTGGTAGCTAAAGAAAGAAACTGGGGCAGCTGTACGAAATACCTTCAAAGTAGGCCAGATTTCTCAAAATATAGGGTTACCCTTTTTTGTAACAAAAACTTTTTATAACCATAACTAAGGAGTCTCACAAAACATTTTAGAAATGATAGCATGGAAAAAATCTTGCAGGGATAGGGGCAATAATACAGCAGATAAGGTGCATGGCTTGCAAGTGGCCAACCTGGGTTCAATCCCTGACATCTCACATGGTCCCCTGAGCACTACCAGGAGTGATCCCTGAGCATTGTCAAGTGTGGCCCCAAAACCAAAACAAAGTTAAACTCTACAATGTACCCATAAACTGATAACTTGATTACATTTCATACCACTGAGCCCCATCTCTACCCAGTACAAAGACTAGTTGGTTTTAAAAAACAAACAAACTTTTTTTCACCATCATTTCATTTCATTTCATCATCCTGTTATTCGTCGATTGCCTCAAGCAGGCCCCAGTAACGTTTCTTTCATCCTAGCCCTGAGATTATATTCAAGGCTCTTTAGGAGAATGAGACCCATCATTGTTACTGGTATTTGGCATATTTGGTACGCCACGGGGAGTTTGCCAGACTCTGCCCTTTGGGCAGGCTACATTCGATAGCCTGCAAGTTTGTCCAAAGTAGGAATGACACAATAAGATGTCATAAAAAAAAGTTCTGATAAGATGTCGCACGGCTGCGAATGCGGCCGCGCGGTTCCGGGATCTGGATTTTATAGTCTCTGAGTCTTGGCCGCTGATGGGATTACACGGCACCAGGGGGCCAGGTGGTGGGTGTGACCCCCGCCTACTGGAATTTGGAGGATCTGGGTGGAAGATGCTCGACTCCAATCCGAGTAGGCTTGGAGGTCTCGGCCCCGGAACCCGCGTGGCTTTGTCCCTCTGCCAGTACCTTCATGTGTGCGGAGAGTGGTCTCAGCATGGTGGTGGCTGGTCCTGGAGGTCTTCGGCTGCCGGAGCCCTGGTCGGGGCTGGGAGGAAAGCTCAACCCGCTCCCCTCCAAGAGGCCCCGGGAAGGAACACCCAGGCGCGGGGGCAGAAGACTGCACTGTTCTCGTCCGGGATCTGGATTTTATTTTCACCATCATCACAGTTAAATGTGGTTCTTCTTCGTCATGTCTTCCCATTGGACTTTTAGGATCAAGCATTTCCTGGTCAAGAAACAAAAGCAGAATCAGCCCATTCCTCAGTGGATTTGGATGAAAATTGGTAATAAAATAAGGTACAACTCCAAGAGTAGGTGCTGAAGAAGAATCAAGCTGGGTTTTGAAGGAGAGTCACACATGAGATGTGTGCTAGTGTGCTGTGATAAGCTGCCAGGATTCTGCATGCACAGCAGACAGAAAGGCACCACAAGTCTGAATCATGTTTGATTAGGGAATCCATTTTTCTTCTCTGTTTTCTGTAGCTGGTTGCCAACTCAGTAATAAATCGCCTGTGAGACTTGACAAAGAATTTTTTTAAATAAAAATTTGAAAAATCCCGAAACTAAAATCCCAAGACCCAGAGACTATAAAACCCAGCTCCTGGAAGAGAACAGCGCAGAGTCTCCTGCCTTCGCGCCTGGCTGTCCTCACGGGGCCCATTGGAGGAGGGTGGGTTGAGTTTCCCTGCCGGCCCCGAGCAGAGCCCCGGCAGCTGAAGACCTCTGGTTCCAGCCACAGCCATGCTTAAGACCACGCTCCACCCGTTCGGATGAGCCTCACGCATGAAGCAACCGGCAGAGGAACCCAGGTGTGAGGGACCCGGGGCATAGATCTCCAAGCCTGCTCGGATTGGGACTGGGCCTCCTCTACCCAGATCCCCCATCTTCCAGTATGTAGGCATTACACGCGCCAACTGCCCCCGGCGCCATGTAATCTCATCAATGGCCAAGACCCAGAGACTATAAAACCCAGCTCCCGGAAGCACATGGCCGCATTCACTTATTATCTAGTTCTTACTTTGGAGAACCTGGCAGGCTACCGAAAGTATCCTGCCCACATGGCAGAGTCTGGCAAACTCCCCCTGGCGTATTCAATATGCCAAAAACCAGTAACAATGATGGGTCTCATTCTCCTGACTCTGAAAGAGCCTCGAATGTGGCATTTCCTAAAATCTCAGGACTGGGATGAAGTAGACATTACTGGTGTCTGCTTGAGGCAATCGATGAACAACAGGATGACAGTGATACTTAATCACTTAATCACTTAACTTCCCATTAGTTGTCGATTTGCTCGAGCGGGTGCCAGTAACGTCTCCATTTGTCCCTGTCACGTGCTAGTGTAGCCCAATGGCATCTGTTCGCTCCGGGAACATGAAGGGCCTCAAACCGATCGTTCATGATCTTGACGAAGAAGTCTGACCATCTGGTAGGTGGGCGGCCACGCGGTCTTTTGACATCCCGTGGAATTCAGTCGGTAACAGCTCTAGTCCAGCGGTCGTCTTTAAATCTCATTACGTGACCAGCCCATCTGATTTTCGACACCTTGGCAAATGAGACAGCGTCCCTGATTCTTGATCATCGACGGAGGTCAGAACTCCGGATTCTTTCTCTCATTTGAGTGAAACGTGATATTCCAAGCATAGCTCTTTCTATTCTTCTTTGGGAGACCTGAATAGCGTTCTCATCTTGTTTGCGTAGGGCCCAGGTCTGTGAGGCATATGTTAATGCAGGAAGAACAGTGGAATCAAAGAGATGTGTCCGGAGCCGGAGGTTCTTCATCCTCTTAGCTATTTCTTGAAGGCGTTCCAAGCCGCTCTCTTCCTCCTGCGCAGCTCGGGTGCCAGGTCATTTGTCATGTTGAACTCTCGACCTAGGTACACATAGCTGTTGCATTCGGAGATGGTCGTTCCATTGAGAGCAAATGGGGCGTCAGTGATACAGTGACAATGAAAATCCCTCTAGTTGGTAATGGTGCAGCTTTTATTTATTTATTTATTTATTTATTTTTACCTATTAAGCTTGTGCCCACAGTAGCTTTTTTAGAATTTAAAATAAAATTTTAAATTCTTATCAGACATCTTATCAGAACTTTTCTTTATGACATCTTATTATCTCATTCCTACTTTGGACAAACTTGCAGGCTATCGAATGTAGCCTGCCCACAGGGCAGAGTCTGGCAAACTCCCCATGGAGTACCAAATATGCCAAATACCAGTAGCAATGATGGGTCTCATTCTCCTAAAGAGCCGTGAATATAATCTCAGGGCTAGGATGAAAGAGACGTTACTGGGGCCTGCTCGAGGCAATCGACGATTAACAGGATGATGAAATGAAAATGAAATGAAAATAAAATTATAATTGAACCATCATGAGATGCACAGTTGTTCATGATTTTCAGTCTTACAATGTTACAACGTTCCGACACTTTCAACACCCATCCTTTTACCATTGTACTTTTCCCACAATCAAAGTTCCTTATTACCTTTCTGCCTGCTCCCTACCCCCACCCTCTCCTCTCTCTCTTTCTGTCTCTCTGTCTCTGTCTCTCTGTCATTATCTCTCCCTCTACCCACCCCCCACCTACCTCACCCCACCCCCGCCCTCTGCTGTCAGATGGGATCCAGTGAATTCTTTCAAACCTTTTTTTTTTTCCCCTCCCGTTGATCGTCGATTTGCTCGAGCGGGCCCAGTAACGTCTCCATTGGAGACTTTGTTGTTACTGTGTCTGGCATATCGAATACTCTCGGTAGCTTGCCGGGCTCTCCGAGAGGGGCGGAGGAATCGAACTCGGGTCGGCCCTGTTGGCCGCTTGTAAGGCGAACGCCCTACCCACTGTGCTATCGCTCAAACCTTTAAAGAGTTTTAAAACTTTAAAACTTTGGGGGGGCTAGAGAGATAGCATAGCAGGTGGGGTGTTTGCCTTGCATGTGGCCGACCCTGGTTAAATTCTCAGCATCCCATATGGTCCCCTGAGCACTACGAGGAGTAATTTCTGAGTGCAAAGCCAGGAGTAACCCCTGTGCATCGCCGGGTGTCACACAAAAAAGCAAAAAAAAAAAAAACTGGGAGGGGTCAGAGCAATAGTACAATAGGCAGGGCATTTGCCTTGCATGCAGCAGGCCTGAGTTTGATTCTCAGCATCCCATTTGGGCCCCAAGCACTGCAGGAGTAGCCTATATATGCAGAACCAGGAGTAACCTCTGAGCGACGCTGGGTGTCGGCCAAAAACAAAAACCACTTTAAAACTTTTAAACCTTTACTGCCAACACTTTTCAGGCTCTTCCCAGAAATTGAAGAAACAAAAACCATTCCCAAACAGTTTCTATTAAGCAAACATCACACTGATGCCAAAAGCAGAAAGAGACATCACTGCAGCTTTTAAAGATCCCTCGTTCAGGACTAAAAAGACAGCTCAGTAGGCTGAGTTCATGCAGGACAGAAAAGTCTGATACCCAGAACTTCTAGGAATTACCCCATTATAGAGACTTAGAGCAGCCCATAAGTACTTCCAGGTGTCACCCAGAGCGCAAATAATAATAATAATAATAATAATAATATGGTCACGGTCCTCCCGTTATTCATCGATTTGCTTGAGCGGGCCCAGTAACGTCTCCATCATGAGACTTGTCGTTACTGTGTTTGGCATATCAAATGCGTCACAGGTAGCTTGCCAGGCTTTGCTGTGCGGGTGAGATACTCTTGGTAGCTTGCCGGGCTCTCCGAGAGGGGCGGAGGAATCAAACCCGGCTCGACTGGGCTGGCTGTGCACAAGGCAAATGCCCTACCACTGTGCTATCGCTCCAGCCCTATAATAATAATAATAATAATAATAATAATAATAATAATAAAGAATGCTCATTCAACCAATGAGAATCTCCTGCCTCGGCGCCAGGGCCCCTGGGGGGGGGGGTTGAGTCTCCCTCCCCACCCCAAGCAGAACCCCGGCAACTGAAAAACTCCAGAACCCAGCCACAGCAATGCTCAAGGCTACTCTCCACATGTTTGGACGAGCCTCACACATGAAGGAACCAGCAGAGGACCCAGGTATGCGGGACCTATGGCTGAGACTGGGCCTCCTCCACCCAGATCCCCAGTTTTCCAGTAGCTTGGCAGCCACACCCACAAACTGCCCCCCGGCACACCTTCTAATCTCATCAATGTCCAAGATCCGGAAACTATAAAACAACAAAAGCCTCTGTCCCTCTCAGAGAGTCCAGCAAGCTACTGAGAGTATCTCACCAGCACGGCAGAGCCTGACAAGCTACCCGTGGTGTATTTGGTATTCGATATGCCAAAAACAGTAACAGTAACGAGTCTCATTCCCCTGATACAGAAAGAGCCCCCAATACGCCATTGAGCTACATTATCAAGTGACAGGGATGGATGGAGACATTACTGGCACCCACTCGAGCAAATGGATGAACAAGGGGACGACAAGTGATACAAGTGATACGAGTGATAGTTCTCATTTTCACCATGACAACAAGCCTGCTGTGATGGAAACATGACCTGTTGGATCATGTGGCCACATTTACCTTTTCTGGATGCCAGGAGCAGCTGGACCCACATACAAACAGAATGAGGCAAAGGTTTTGTTTAGTTTTGTAGGGGGATATTGCTTGTTTTGGTTTTTGGTTTTGGGTGCCACACCCACTGGTGATGCTCAGAGGTTACCTTCTGGACTATTGATCTGGCCCCTTGTTTTTTTCATCTGTCTCTGCAAGACTGAAAGTTCAAGGCAAATTCAATTTTGTTTGAGGAAACATTGCAATTTAATAATTCTTGATATTATGTATCTCTCTGATCCTTTTTAAATAGAGAATTAGATCTTTGTGTGTCTCAATTCCAAGAGACAAACAATACAAGGACTGGAGAGATAATGCAGCGGATAATGCACTTGCCTTGCACACAGCTGACCTTGGTTGATCCTCAGCACTGCATATCTCCTGAACACCATTAGGAGAGAGGTACCTCTATCCCTCCAAGAAAGGCACAAAGTTAACCAGAAAGACAATACAAGGGTGTTTGCCTCATATGAGGTCTCTGCAGCAACCCTGGTTCCTCCTGCACTACATATGATTTCCATCCCAAACTCAATCCCAGCCCTGTCAAGCATTGCCACTGAGTACTGTGGGGCAAGGAAGGAAGGAAGGGAAGGAGGGAGGGAGGGAGGGAGGGAGGGAGGGAGGAAGGAATATAAGAAACACTTCTTGTATTTCTCCTCATATTTCTCTAAGTAAATTTCTCTAAATGCAACTATTTTACTTTTTAAAAAAATTCACCAAGTTTATGAAGTCTCCAACAAAATTTGAATTTTCTGTA